CATAGATATCACTATTAAACGCATGAACCGGCTCACCAAATTGCTTCATCTTTGGTCGCCTGCTTCCCCACTATAACTGACAATATATAGAGGACGGTCTCAATTTGATACACATGAAAAACACCAGTATGACCAAGAATAAGATTGATAATTAGAGGAAATTTTATTCCTGAAACATAACCATATAAAATTAATTAAGAAATTAAGACATACCACTTTTTGTTTAAGAATCAAGTCTACCACAAATTTCTTGATGAACCTAAAATTTAAATTAGTTTATTCGTATAATCAACTCTAAAATGTGATATCTAATAGGTCTAGATTAAAATCCTAATACTTATAATCCCTTCCTTTATTCTAAGACTATAACCTCTTTATATCAAAAAAATTACCAGCTCCGTTGGGTCCCTAAAAGCTCATTCATACCAGAATGATTTTGCATGTTTTGCCTCATCGGATCGAATCATCAAAAGCACGAAAAGGGGAGGTAAAGAGGCCAATTAAGTTCATATATCAGTGTAGTTGTGCCCTTTTGAAGAGTTAGGAAACAATCATTAGCCCATCGTCATGGCAAAGATTAATATATATCGGTCATATTCATGTGAGTAGTTGTAACAAATTAGACTTGATTAGCTCCAACTAGTCATGAGAGTAAACCATCCACAAGAATGCCTTTTTCTTTTATAATATCTAAACGAAATCATCTATATCTATATAATATATATAAATATATATATATATATCTAGTTACTGTTAGTCGCTAGGGTAATAATCCATTATTTTGAGATTAGACAAGTCTGAATTTGAGCAATACTCTATCCTTTACTTTATGCATTTTTATATGTTAAGTATCATTTCTTGTCTACAGTAAGCGAATTAATGCGTAATGATGCAATATGGAAAGGAAAAGAAAAGAAAAGAAAAGAATATAGTATTTTCCCAAACCTTACTTGGTTATCCAGAAACAAGTGACATGTTATAACACTTTTGTATATTTCACACTAGTTTCAATTTAAGATAGTCTGACATACTGCTATATCGCAAATTTAAAGGCAATAAAAACCAATGAGAAGCTCATCTAAATAAGATCTATTTTAAATGTTGACTAAGCAGTTGACGCAAAAACAAGAACTTGACATGTGCCCTTGAAGCTGGGGGAAGGACAATAATGGAAATAGATATAGACTTAAACAAGTATCATTCCTTTCTCTTTTTTTTTTTTTTCTTCTGTTTTTAGGGTATTTATATTATATTTTGGTATATACGTAGCCTTACCAACCTCTTGTCTTGAGCCATCAATGCAATTAAATAATGGCAGAGATCAGCTGCTTCTATATGGACTATTCATTTTAAAGAAAGCATTACTGGTTATAATTTGTAAAATTTGAAGTTGATTAAGATCTAACCTAAATGTACTCTCAATTATGGCGCAATGAAATAGACTAAAATTCATTGCAAGCTGATAAACATAAATATTCTGTCTACACCATTGGATGAAATTCAAAGGGTAGTAGTTAGATTGAACTTTAATTTATTTTCATATATATCCATCCAATCCAGGGCATGGGAAATTTTCTTTTCTCAAAATCAATAGGAAAAGACGTTTCTGGTGAAAAAGTGCCCGACATGAAATACCTTCAGATGAAAACAACATTTCTTATTCCCCTATCTGCTGCTTAGTTACTATACAATGAGGTGGGGAGACCTTTTCATGTTGTCGCTGGATATTATTTTGTTAAAAACCTAACCAACCCCCAATGCAATCCCTTTTCCTTTTTGCTTTTTGCTGCTTCATCATCATCATCATCTTAGTTTTCCACTTTTTGAAGAAAAGTAGTAGTAAGTAATCGGAAGTAAAGTGCATTTTCAATTGATTTCATCATATATGCTTTGCTGGTCCAATGCAAAATACTCTCCCAATTCAATATATGCAACTACATACCACAAGCTTGCACATGAGATTAATTGGGAGGAAAGTAAGAATATACGAGTATACATAAAATTCCTGATGCTACTTGAAATAAATCTTCTGTACAGTAACGATGGAAAAATGTAAAAAAAAAAAAAGGAAACAGTGCAGTTTTAGCCATTATTCTGGGGAACTGAATGGTATATATGTGTTGAGAAATGCATTGATGAAGAAGGTCCATTTACCCATGTGAGATGGAGAAGGAAAGTTTATTGGGAACATTCTCATAATAACTTTCCTTTTTTTTTTTTTTTTGTTCTCCGTTTTTTATCCTTATTTTGTTTTTCCATCTAAATCTTTCAAGTTACAATCTATGTATAAACCTGTAAAAATAGCTAAGAACTATGCCTAAATAAAAAGAACATAGCTACACTTTTGTCTTAAAGAGAGTTGGGCAACTTGATGACTTTGGTTAGAATTCAGAGAAGTCACTTGCAAGAAAAGAAAAGAAAAGAAAAGAGACAAAAAAGGTTAATGTAACAAAGAAAAAGTGTTCCTTGAGAAAGTTCTTTCTCTTAACATAGACATAAAAATTAATGTTCTTCATGCATGAGAGTATATATTTATATATATATATATATGTGTGTGTGTGTGTGTGTGTGTATCTGCAATTATGTACTAAATCCATGAGCCAAAGAGAAGTTATGACTGCCAAAACCTCTTAAGCATCTTGACTACTAACTTTGACATTCACTTTCACTTTCGTCCATGGAGAAAATCAAATTCATCTAAAAAAAGGGAAAAATCATCTCTCAATTACATATTTGCTCTATGAACAGGGTCCCAGTTGATTGCCCAGAAATGTTTTTGGCAGCATGGGGTTATAAAGCACCAGCAACCAAGGGCCAAATTTTCAATACTACTCGTAACTACACAAACAGAATCAAATATGAAACTGGACTGGCCTCTGAAATAATCAGAGCCTGCCAATCTGTTGTGTTTGCCCACTGTTCTATTAACAGCACCTACAGTATAAGTAGGTCCAACCGTGCAGCACTACATAAAATTTCTACTACTATTTTCCTGTTTTAAGGACCTAATAATGTTTTCCACTTTCATGAATCATATATATCATCTTCAACTACTTTCATAGGGCCTCACAGGTATTAATTTTGTTTTATGAGTGTCACTTGCAGATTGTACAATCAAATACAAGAAAAGAAAAAAGTAAAACACTGTTGATTTTCTGGGTTTTCAATGATTACCAAACAGGTTTTTCAAATGTAAAAAACCCTTAAAAAATGTTGGTTTCTGCACGTTTTTAGCATGTAGTTTTGCCGTAGCCTGCTTCCTTGTCCAGTGGACAAAGTACTTTTATGGCATGGGTGCTTGATTTGGAAACTAATTTCAGGCATCTACTTCAACACTGTGGAAAGCAAACCTTTACCTGCATTGTACACAGTTTGTTGGATTTAGTAATAATTGAAAATGACGCGAGAGGGTTCATAAGGCAACTGCCCATCTAGTCTCACCATTTCCTCAGTGGTTGGTACATATCAGAAGGAATTCAACTCCAGCGGCCCATTGTGTTCCAGCTAGTGAGGCGTACTTGTTGTGCACTGTCTCCTTGACATCTAGTATTTCTCTTCACCACCTCCACAAAGAAAGAATACTAGCAGTCATTTTCTTCGTTTCTTTTCCTCTAACTAATTAGCCACCTACTCGCATAACAGCCTTCTTGCCCATAACTCGACTATTATCCGGATAGGTCAGTAAATGTAGAGAAAAATTACACCAAACATGTAAATATAAAAAGAAAGTAAAGCTATAAGAAAATTTCATAAGGAAAATAATAATAATAATAATATGCCTCATTTAGAAATAAATTCTCGCCAAGAACTCTGATATAATCGACATTCACCATTAAGCAGGCATATAAAATACTAATGTAATAGGTACAAACAAATTCCTCGAGTAATTTATTTTCAACAGAATTGACACCTAACATTCCAACAATGTGTGAAATGGCTCTTCGCTTGTCGACTGTTGAGCCAATGTGAGTACTAATGGTATGGTCCTTCTCAAAATCCCTTCTTGTCGAATAATGGGGCCTCTATACTGTCCCCTATGGACCAACAAGTTTTCAGGGGCTTGAATCTCTTTCAACCAAACCACTTCAGAAGAATTTATACCACGCAACTGATCAACACCATTTGGATAAGAATTAAAAAAATACATATGAATACACGAAAAATTAGGATTTAAATATTGACTCGTTTCGATATAAAAAAGAAATAAAAGTAATTTGAGAGCGAAAGCCAAGCTCAACCTAGTTTAGCCAATAGCCCAACACAAGTCACGAGCTACGTGGCCTGTTTAAAATTTGCAAGCCCCTTTACCAATCGGGCTACTTCTGATGTTCTTTGTCTTGGATATGGGCTTGGTTCAAGAGTTTTTCCTGTTTTGGACGCATTTGAAGGTCCATGAAATTTGTTCATGACAATTAGAAATTATATGGAGGATTTGAATACCCAAATACTTAAATTTCGTGAAAATTATACTTAAATTAAAAAAAAAAAGGAATTGACATATTGAAATAATAAAAAAAAGTAATGGTAGCAATAAAAATCTTCCTTAAAAATAATAAAGTGAAATTCTTAAAATCAATACAAAGACAACAGCACAAAGAGAGTGGTGGGAGGCCACAAAAACAATGGAGAGTTTTCAAAGGTTTAATATTATATTAATTATTCTCATAAAATAATATTCAATAAAAAAATTAAATGTTATTCTCATAATAATTTGAATAAGAATATCTTAATCATGTTAGAAAGAGGGAAGCACGCAAATTGTGGGCCCAGTCAAAGGTTAAAAAATAATAAAAAAAGGGAAAAAGCGCGTCCGAGGACAACGGAAGTGGGGGCCCTCACCACCATTCTTTATTTATGTGGGGCCAAAGTTGACGGTTAGTCCTCTCCTTAATCCTTCCCGCCAATACTTATCGACACTAATTAGTAATTACTTAATTAATTAATTGCACTTTTTTGTGGGCCGCTCCCGCCCATCAAAATTAAACACCTCAAAAAAATGACAAATTTTGTTATCACCCTTCAAGAAAAACAAAGAAAAAAACAAGAAAAAAATATTGAGGAAAAGAAAGTAAAACATAGCACAGTTTGTGGGGGTGGCTGGTGGGGGCTCCACACTCCAGGAAAAACAAAGAAAGAGAAAGAAGAAGAAAAGAAAAGAAAATCTCTGGTAAATTTTGTAAAGAAAAAAGGATTAAGAAGTCAAAAACTTGAAGGCCCCCCACTCATGAGAGAGAGACCAAAGATGGTGGAAGAGATGGAATTACTGCTCTGAGATCATCCTGTGAAAAAAGGGCAGTAATAGAAAAAAAAAATCTGGGTTTTTTTCTTTTTTTTTTTTGGTTTTGTTTGTTTCAAATTCCACACTTTTTTACATATTTTTTCTGTGCTGCCTTTTTGAGTCTCTATCAGAAACCTTCTCTCCACCATCACCACCGCCCAACTATCAAGAACGTACTTTCTTTTTATACTTTTCATTTATTCAGAGAAAATTCCATTATTACCACTTCAACAACAGTATCGAAGAAGGAGAAAAAGTTTTGATTTTGTGCACCCTTTATGGTAATTTCAACTTTTTCTTTATTGCTTCGGAGACTTTTCTTGGATTGCTTGCTCTCAACGTCATTCTGTCGCCAACATTTCTTCATTTTCTTTTTGCATTTTTTTTCAGCTTCTCTGGAGATTGAAAGGAGAAGTTGAGTTTCTGTTTTTGATAATGCACATGCAATTGTCAAGAAAAACGGTGTTGTAAGATCAAATAAAAAAAGGGAAAAATGAGAGACCCTGATGTGATCATCACTAAAGGCGTTGAATTTATCTTTTTTTGTAATATAGTTTTGTAGTAAAAAAGTTGCATTCTTTCACGTTTTCTTGTAAACCCAAAGGGAACGCAGGGAAATTTTTTTCTCTTTTGTTGTTGTTGTTATTGTTTCGGTTTGTAGAGGTGCATTGTATAAGGAAAACCTGGCGATTCTGTATAGCGTCCTCCGCCACTGCTGTATTTGGCCTATCAAGCAATGGGGGTTGGATGGAACCCAGTTGGATTCGTTTTGTTAAGCTTCTTGTTCTTGATTCCAAGTTTCATGATTCAAGAGTCTTTGGCTATTAACTCTGATGGTAATTCCTTTTTCTGGTATTTCTGTTTGTTTACTTTTTTTAACAATGCTGTTCAATTTATTGTTTGTTTTCTTTTTTTACTTGTTTGTTTGATTTTAAATGAATTTGGGGATGCAGGTTTGGCTTTGTTAGAATTTCGAGCGAGAATTGATTCTGATCCTTGTGGTTTGTTTGCAAATTGGAATTCCAATGACAGCACACCATGCATGTGGTTTGGGGTTCATTGTGTTGACAGTAAAGTGCAAATGCTGTAAGTCTTTCTTATTATATATAGTTTCTCTCTATACTCATCAATGAAATACATTTGTTTAGAGAAGAATCCTTGAAGTTCTTTATGGTGTAAAATGTCTAGGATGAATCTTCTGATGTTTGCTTTTAGGGATTTGAGTGCTCTTTCATTGGAAGGAACATTGGCGCCCGAGCTAGGGAAATTAAGCAACTTAAGATCACTGTAAGGATTCACAATTTTGCTGCTAAATGATTGGTTTTTCATTTTTTCCCTCTGAAATTCTTTATCTACTTTAGCTTGTATTTCTTCTTGCATGCCTAACAATCCTGATAAAAGTCAGCATCATATGATATTGTGATTATCAATTACAATTTGGCCCCAATATATGATCTGGAAACAAGGTTCTCCCTTATCTTTTGCATTTTAATTCTTGTTTGCTGGTTTTCTTTATTGTCAATTCGAATAAACCCTGGTTTCATGCATTGCAATAGATTAACTTACTGTGTGAATTCATGGAATCCTGTAAATGAGAGGCACTGTATGTAGGTGTTAATATGCAGCCTCATATTTGGTAATATTTTAGTGCTCACTTAACCTAATTGAACTTTCTGGATCTTTTTCTTATATTAACAGTGTGCTCTATAAAAACCATTTCTCTGGTGCCATTCCAAAGGAGTTTGGAGAGCTTACAAGGCTGGAACTATTGGATTTGAGGGAAAATAACTTGAGTGGAACAATTCCGGCAGAGATAGGCAAAATGCTGTCTCTAAAACGCTTGTAAGTTCACGTTTGTAAATTTACTCTGTGCATAATGCATTATTTTGTTACCTTTAACTAAATTGCCTTCCACCTTAGGTTACTTTATGACAACAAATTTGAGGGCGGAATTCCTTCAGATCTTGGGGGGCTAAACCTGCTCTCTGAACTGCAGTTTGATGAAAATCTTACATTGATATTGGCTACTGGAATTGGCTGTGTAAATAGAAAGTTTGGACTTTGGTAAGAGCATACTCATTGCAGTGGAATTTTTATTGCTATATGTTGTTGATCCCCTCCCCTTATTCTGTAACCTATATTTATCCACCCACAATGCAAAACCATCTGACTTTTTCCCCATTGTCTTTTTGTTGACCTTATGAATATGGCATGAATTTGATAATTGCCTCGGCAAAGGTTATGTTAGAAGAAAATATATGTTTCATAAAGTAGACTAATTTTTTAGGTTCATTGGCCTAAAATTTCTTTAAATGCCTAGTTTTATAAAATTGCAGCATGATTATAAGAAAATAAGGGAGGAGATCAGCTTCCTTTAAAACCATTTAATATGCCTCTATAATCACACCATACAAATATGCCTCTAATAATCAAAGGAGTGCTGCTAATGGCTTGCTTGACTTTTAGCCTTATTTATGATACCGAATCTATTCGATTAATTAGATACTCTAAATCTTTGGCTTGTATTCACAACTGAACTGTTAATTGTAGTGCTTATGCCAATTCTGGGATTCATGGAGTCACTCTTTGCTCTGCCAAATTCTACTGTTGAAACTCTGGAGTCTGGATGGACAAAAAATTAAATTTCATGTGAGAAATCAGTTCCTAGACATAGAGAGATAACACTTGTTTGATATTTCTATGAAGCAATTTGAATTATTAAGTTTTACTGGTATAAGCTTCAGTATAAGGTCATGGAATACCATGTCTAACGATGGCCGTCATAATGTTCTCAGACTTGGATGCTGCTAGCTTAGAATTATTACAAGGTCCTATTTTCTTCAAAATACATTGAACTTGATTCTACAAAAGGTTATTCAAAATTTTGCATTGAATAAGTGGCATGTGGGAGATTAATATGCTTCATTTTATACTACGGTTTCTTTTTATCCGGCTAATTAAACTTGTTAAGAGTTCTAGCCTTTAGTTTCCTAATTACTTATTGCCTAAGTTGACAGCACATGGCAGAGCAGTTTGAAACAACTGAACAGAGGTGGATCATTATTCATTCCAATTAAAAGAGCTCTTACACATTACCTCAATGCCTTGCCATTGCCACAGTATGAACTGATATATATCTTTTTACTATCCTACTTTTATTGTTGGTTTTGTTATTTTAGTTTTTAAAATCTTGTTGTTTTCTTTGTTAACATGGTTTACCTTCTTACAAGGTTCAAGTTGCAAAAAAACTCTCCGGTTGAGCATCAAGACAGTTGCTGCAGTGATGTGCCTGGTGAGTAGAACAATTAACAAATCTCAGTCTATTGGACAACAAAGTATGGCTTCTGGGAAACAACTGCATTTTGTTTTTCTTAAGTAGGTTCGTCTGAGCAACAAATGGCCCATGATATAAGGAATCTTGTCCCTTTTGCACGTCGTAGGCTGCTTGAGCAGTCAAAGAACCTCCCAGCTGCACCTGCTCCCAATGTGTCTTCCACTGAACAGATCATTTCTCTCCCAACTACCAGAAGTAGTGGGACTTTCCCCGCTGTGCCGAAGGGAACAAAGAAACAGTCTCTTGCACCACCACCACTGGTTGATCCTCCCCTTCCAGGGACTAATTCAAAGCCTGCTGGCCAGTCATCCCAATTCTCTAATGCAGAGCCAACTGCTCAACAGCCTTCAGCTTCTGGAGATTTATGGAAATATCTCATTTCCATTCCCTGTGTGGTCATCTTGCTTGCAGTTGTGGCCATGGTTATCATATGTAGGAGACGAGCAGTAAAAACCATAGGTCCCTGGAAAACTGGACTAAGCGGACAGCTGCAGAAAGCTTTCGTTACAGGTAATTGCAAAATGTTTTGTTTGATTATATGTCAACAACCAAATTATATATCTAGTTGAACTGTTGATTTGTGATCCTGATTAAATTTTGTAGATGGTCAAATTGCATTTTCAGTATGGCACTACATTATATATGCTGATAAGATTATTCAAATATATTGTTCCTTGGAAATTGCATAGTTTTAACCATTCAGATTTTATTATTACATAGTCCAGTGTTTGTTCATGGTAGGAATTAGGATAGTTAAACAGTGTTTGTTCATGGTAGGAATCAGGATGGTTAAACAAATGATTCTTAAAAAATTCTGTCGATTGACAGAAACTTAAATGTTCATCTTTGTTACATGTGGTGATAGACCCTGTTATTTTACTTTCTAAATTTGGAGAATGGAGACATCGCTTCATGTGCTGTGAAACATATGGCAGGGTAATTGGATTTTCATTACTTGTCCAATATCTTACTTAGCATGAGGTGGCTTGATCTGAGATAATGTTTGGACCAATTTGAATTTATTGGCATGACACTAATCATTTTTGTTTAATGCAGAAAAACTTAATTTTCAGTTTATTTGAAATGCAGGGGTGCCTAAGCTAAACCGATCAGAACTGGAAACAGCTTGTGAGGATTTTAGCAATATAATTGACACAATCGGTGGTTGTACAGTGTATAAAGGGACACTTTCCAGCGGGGTTGAGATTGCTGTTGCATCTATCAGCGTTTCATCTTTAGAAGACTGGTCAAAGAACTCAGAGATGGCCTATCGGAGAAAGGTTTGTTGTTTTTATGGTCACAACATATAAATGTGATAATTTGTGCCCATAACAGAAATCAATTTTATATTTTTAAATCTCCTGATTATTTTTATTTTGATCAATTGTGATATTGGAACTCACCATAGATTGATACATTGTCACGAGTTAACCATAAGAATTTTGTCAACCTTATTGGCTACTGTGAGGAGAATGAACCTTTCAACAGGATGATGGTGTTTGAATATGCTCCAAATGGAACACTTTTTGAGCATCTGCATGGTAATATTATCACTTACATGCATATTTCCTGGTGAATATTGCATTCAATGTTGAGTCGTTGAGAGCTTAAATATTTAATTTTGTTATCAGTTAAAGAAATGGAACATCTTGATTGGAATACAAGGATGAGGATCATCATGGGTGTAGCTTATTGTCTTCAGTATATGCACCATGATCTGAATCCTCCTGTAGCTCATTCAAACCTAAGTTCAACTGCTATCTTTCTAACAGATGATTATGCTGCAAAGGTACAGCAATTTCTGTATAAATTGGCTTCATTAAGGTCTTATCATTATAAAACACTCATTCTCTTTCCTCTCCTTTTACTTTCGCAGGTTTGGGAAATTGCTAGTTCAGAGGCTGCACCCAAGTTGAAAACCTCAGGTGATGGTGAATCACAGCATTCCGAATTGCCACCTTTTGTTGATCCAGAAGTGAATGTCTACAGTTTTGGCATATTGTTACTTGAAACCATTTCCGGAAAGCTTCCTTACTCAGAAGAGCAAGGGCCTCTTGAGAAATGGGTATGTTTTGGATGACAGATAATGACTACATAGTGCCTGCCTCTTACCCCTACCTGTTCTAGGCAAAAGCTACACTTGCATTGCTTTACCCCTACCCGTTTTTGCGTTTTGGTAAACTAATAATCATGAACTTGACAGGCCGGTCAATATTTGAATGATAAACGGAGCATCAGCTACATGATTGATCCTACCCTCAAATCTTTCAAAAATAATGAGCTTGATATAATCTGTGAGATTATACAAGAGTGCATCCAAACAGATCCAAGGCAAAGACCAACAATGAAGGATATCACTTCCAAATTGAGGCAAGGGATTAATATGCCACCTGAGCAAGCTACCCCAAGGCTTTCCCCCTTGTGGTGGGCAGAACTTGAGATTTTATCAATGGAGGCAGCCTAATTTCTTTGTAACTCTCTTCTCTGTGTTGTAAGTCAAGTCTTTCTCTTAATTTGTATCAAAATGGAAGGGAATAGCATTTTAGTCCTTGCTTCCCCCCCCCCCCCCCCCCCCCCCCCCAAAAAAAAAAAAAACGATTCCTTATACTTGGTTTCCAAATCACTTCTATTTTTGGTCATCATATACACATCCTATTATCCATTTGTTTAATATTTTCCCAATTCATCCAAAACACCTCATTCCAATAAAAATGTGTCATACTCATTAATAGGGATCGTGTACCCAATTGTAATAGATGTATGTTTTTTGCGATTATAAAGTCTGTGATGTAAAATACTAACATAGCCAACATAATTTGTTGACGTTCTTTTTCCTTGTCAATATAATTAGGTGGTTGAGAATTTTTAGAACTTCTGCAAGTATTTGATACTAGTCAATTAAATTTTTGGGTTTTTTTAATAAAAGTTTTATTTATTTATTTTTTTACTTGGAACACGAATTTATTTCTTGGTTTCAGTTTATTTCTTGTTAGTGAACCCCTTACGGTTTGTTTAAGTTTGTTTCAATCCGTAAGACTTTAAAATGTTCAATTTATTCAATGAGTTTAATATTGGAAGTTGTAGTTTTTTCAGTAACTGACGGACCTAGACATTTCAACCTGAATGCAATCTTTATTTCATCTAAATCAGGCTACATTTGAACCTATTAACTTTGCTGAGCTGAGCATTTGGCTATGCCTAAATCAATCTGTTTGCTAATTCACATGACCCTAGTGAAATCTGATTCTGCCATGGCCACGGTCGTTTACTCATTTCCTTGAGACATCTCCTTTGAAAAAAATTGTAAATTGTAGCATAAAGTAAAGAGGGCAAATGCATGGATACAAGACGGATAACAGATCAACAGAACAGAACCATGACATGCAATTACAAAACTTCAATAACTTCTCTTAAAAAAGAACATTGACATTGTTGTGCAGTTCTAATCTCGGACACTTTGGGGTATCCCTTCTTTGGCCCCATTGCCTCAGCTGAATCTGAAGCATACAAGTCCCAGCCAGAAAGTCCACAGATTGCGATGGATTCAAAACATCCAAAACTCCTTTCAGAGTCTTGAGCCTCACACAGTCAGCAGCTTTCATGACCCTCTCCAGCCCCGCTAGCACGCCCTTGAGAGCCACCTCAACCAAGCCGTCCACCTGACCCACCGACTCCCCATTCCTTATCCGGTTCACCATACGAACCAGCTCAACCATCTTCCTGTCCGCCATTGCCACCTGCTGCCTCTCCATTTCCCTGTCCATTCTCTCTTCCTCTAACTTTATCTTCATTCTCAACTGCTCTATCTTCCTTACCTGCTCTTCCGTCAACTCAGCCAAACCCGGACCAGGCACCCGAGTCCTCCTCATTGACTCAACTAGTCGAAATATCATGGACGGTTTCCAACCAGTGAGCCATGAATAAGCATTCTCTAGTTGGCTTAACCAAATAGGACAATAAAAAGCAAGCACATCTTCATGAGCAGCAGTCCATTTGACAGTGTAGAATTCTTTATAATGGGATGTCAGTTTTGACACCAGAGCTTGTTGTTCAGCTTCACTTAAACTTTCCTTGGACACCCTGAGAAGCTGTCCCAAGTAATCATCAAGTTGACAAATCCACTTATCGAAGAACTCAGAAAACCTTTCTCCAACGGGAGTCTTCATTTTTTTTGCCCTTTTGGGAATCGAAATAGATGATAATACAATATAGGAGTGTGGGTTATAGCCTTATAGGACGAGTGGACAATTTGGGACTTATAAGTTGGAAGAAAAATATGGTAGCATGCAACGGATGTTTAAGTGTGAATTGGGGGAGTTGAGGGGAGAGAACAGATGGAAAAAGGAGCATTGGACACGGTTAGAGTGAGAAGATGGAGTGCATGGCTTACGCGCAGCAGTGAGCTAGTAGTGGATTTGGAATGGGGAGGGGTACGGGGCTGAGCTGATATAGGAATATGACGCTTTGCAAACGAGGGATGACATGAGTCGAGTGTTCTGTCCACGTAGCTTTCTGATGTCTAGCTCTTAAAGTCTTAAACTCTTAACATCTGAGGATTCAACCTTTGACTAACTTGAGGAGTCATGCATGCGTCTTACCAGCTGGTGTTGTAAGTTCTTGTGTGGATAAACGTGTCACCATAGGAAACAATCTTGGTTCAACGTGGAACTCATTCACGCTGTTCCTTCACAATCTTCATTCATCGGATCCTACCTTTATCTTCCACGAACCGGACTTTTGATACTAGATTTTTCCTTAGCTGCGGTGCAAAAATCTTGCCTACCTAGTTTTTCCTTTTTTTTATATAAGAGCTTGCTTCATGCTTGGTTTTCTGGAAATGAGGAAATCATTTTGCCATGTCAAAATACGTGCATCTAGGAATTGCTTCACCATATTTTTTAAGCATTTTCCCTTTGCGATGCTTTAATATTATTTTTTAACTATTTTATAGTAGGAGAGTTTATATAGAACACAGGATGTTCCATTTACAGAAAAAAAAAAAAAAAAAAAAAAAAAAAAAAAAACGTATTCCGTCTTTATTCCTCTTTAGCATTAATGTTAATTACTTTTATATTTACTACTTTAAAATTTTTGCAGAAGATTTAATCTGCTGACTAGTTACATGAAAATGGTGGGATATATAAAACTAGTAAGGCACATTTTGACTAATAGTTTTCATGGTATATATGCTCGCCTTTAAAGATTTATTTTTAATGCAATGTATATATATTGTGAATTAAATGATACCATTTTATTAATAAAGTAAATGAAATTCTATCATTTTATTAACAAATAATTTTTTTTAAATATTATTTTTGGTAATATATTTCAAAAGTTAATATTTACTTATTAATAAAATTATATTATTTGATTCATTAATAGTATATAAAATTTATATACTAATAATTTATTAAATATAAACTCTTTAATTATGATTTATATTTAATACATTATCAATATATAACTTAATCGAATGATATCCCTTATTAAAAGTGAATCAAATTATGATATTTTATTAATAAATAAGTTTGTTAAAAAATATTATTTTTGATATCTCTACTTTAAAAAGTAATATTTATTCATTAACGAGAGAAAATTTTCCATTTTAAATTTATGGCATATCAAAAATCTCATGAAAGATTTATGTTAAATTTATAAATCATGTATAAAAAAAAAAATTGTTGACAACACGTCTTTTATTATTTTCCTAAATAAAAAATAATCTCTTACTGTTTTCTGAAATTAAAAAACGTCTCTTATCATCAGCTCGTGAGTTTATGTTCGTGTTCTTTACTTTTTACTCAATATTAAAAAAAATAATAACACAAGGAAAAACAAGAGACGTCGGTTTTTTTCAAATGCAGCTGCAAGGTGCCGGTCTGAAGACCCAGCTAGGCCTGCAACATTATCTTTTTCAAGTTGGCCCTAAGCATTTGTCACCACTAATTGATTCTGATATTTCAACGATCGGCCTCCAGGCCTTTTCTATCGGATTTGAACGATATGGAATTGTATGGAATAATTTTTATTACGATTGAATAATTATAAAATTGTAATAAAATTAAATTAAATTAAAATCACGAGTGAAATACTCCCAACACAAGAGTGTACTAAAACGTTTCCATACCATAATTCTCGACTTTGAAGATACTAGTTATTTATATGCTACTCAAAATAACCTTGCTCCTTGCCCTGCCCTGTCCTGCATGCAGTAAGCAGTTGCATTCGATGTTATTGCTCATTGTTAGATGACTTTCCATCTAATTACAAATTAATATCCAACCGGAGAAAAAATTTAGCTATTCCAAGCTTAATATGGTAGACCACTGAAACGACAATTTCAGCAAAAGGTTTAGCAGAAAGGAGACGATCTTGTGTGGATAAAAGTGTCATTTAAATGCATTGAAGGTGGTCCCTCCAACAATTGTTTTTAATTTATAATTTTATTTCACAAAAATATTTTTCTTTAAGTATGAATTTAAATTTTATCTTATTTATTATATTATATCCTCACACTTAACTACTATGAGATTGGGAACGGTTAAGTTATGTTTGCATAGCATAATGAAACTGAATTCTTATGTCTCATGTCATGGACTGTTGGGTCTATTTTTCCACAACCCAAATTTGTGATTTGAGATTTCACAGCTAGCAATTGGAAGCGAGGAGGACAAAACAACAAGATGAGTGATTCTAGTGAAATAAAAGAAGAATTTGATGTAATTTTATAGTGTCCACCAACTCCTCAGAACAAAACATCTTAAGGATTAATAAACAGACGAATGTGATCAGGTGATTCAAATCAGGCCTAGACAGTTTAATTATTTCGACAGAACATGTAGCTTGTCAAGAGTTCATAATCACCCACAATCATGTCAATAGATCTCAACTGGGAACTACTCTGAAGTATGGGTGTATGAGCGATCCTGGCATGGCCCTTGCCGTGAAAAGTATTGTACAGTTTAGTCCATTAACGACATGGCAAAGATTTCAACTGCCTGTCCATGAATAGGGAGAACAACGTCCAGGAGACTTGAAAAGATGAGTGATTGTAATGAACCCGAAGAATAGTATAGTGCAGATATGTGGGCCAAGAATGAACAAGGATCTGTTTAAATGTGATATTTTGTTGAGGTCGACCAGCTCCAAGACAAAAATTTCCAAGGCATACCCAAGTGATAAGGTCGTTTGCTGCCTTGAATTATTGAATTTTGATCACTTTTCGCTCTCCGCATCAGGAACTTGGTTTGTGGCTAATATTATGGGTCATGTGGTTCAGTTGGCCAAACTTTACCCACGTGTCCTGCCCACATGGAAAATATCCATTAGAAGAGGCTTATGGTCCTGTTAAAATGGTCCCCTTTTGATTGTTGGGAGTCACGTGGAGGTGGTACAAGCATGGATACAAAATTCACTGATGCCAAGAGTACCAGACCAAACCAGTATTTGGTTGATGAAGTAGCCAGCCAGAATAGCCTAGTAGAGAGAGATCCATGGCACTGAATGTCTTTTGTTTCTGCTTCAGGGGAACATATTGAACTACAAGTTCAGATTAACAAATTTGAAGAAAACTTTCATCAAGTTTTTTGATCATTTTCTTTCCACTTTTTCTTTTGTTAGGACAAACGTTTGTACAATGATCGTCTTGATCACAAAAAAAACATTTACAATTAGTTTTAAAAGATTTTTTTTTTCTTTTTAACAATAAATTTATCTTTTTTAGGTTTAAAAGTTGTTGTAAGTTTTGAATTTTTTCAAAAATATTTTCGTTTTTTCTTAAAACAAGATTTCTTTGAAAAAGATTGTTTATTACAATCAAATTCAAATTCATTTTCCAAAATTTTTGTACATTATTTATACGAAAGTTTGGATTTTATCTGTTTTGTAGCTTTTTGCTTCAAACAATATTCTGTTACCTGATTCTGAACGTAATGTATTTACATCCAAAAGTATCATACAGTTCGATACTAAAATTTACAGCATGAACAGTTTTCTTCACACGACCAATCAGTAACACCATTGGATCGATCTACAACTGTGAGAATGGTTTACATCTTAATTTTTCCTTAATTTTAACTGAATTTTAATTCAACCACTCAAGTTCTTATCAATCGGTTCTTGGTAATTTTTTTTGAAACTAAGATATTTATAATTTTTTTTTCGTAATTAGACTACTTTTAAATTTTATTCCTAAACAAAAACACGTTGATCTTATGCTCCACATCAACGCTCTATTCCATACCAACGTCTCTTTCTTTGAATTAAGCTGGTTATCTAATCTAATTAATGAATTAAGAAAGAGAGTATTATGTATAATAGAAAACTGTTAATAATATTAAGGTCATATTTAAAAAATAAAATTAATGCATTATTTTTTTAATTTGATAAAAGTAACGCTTTAAATATAAAAAAATAAAATAATCTTTAAGTTATAAACATCCGTTAACCGAATATAATAATGTTAATAGGTAATAATCTTAGAATTAAAAAATAATATCTTTGAACGATTACTAATTGACTTACAAAAAGAAATGTATCCCATTTTGATTTGCCAAATAACAATTACACCCTGCAACCAAGAGAATTATTACAGATTCAGCATGTTCGGTTCAAGCAATTATTGTGAAGAAAATCTGGCTTATTTGGAAGTTATGCAAGAAAGGAGGGTAACTCTTTATGTGCCATTTGTGCATATTTCCATGAAATGTGTATTATATATATAGAACAATATCCGAATTTTGTTTTTTACTCAATGCGGATCTCCGCCACTTCTTTCTCATCATTTAAAGTTTAATCGAATTAACAGCCCCCCGTCTAGAGGAAGGTAGCATTTTCTTCGAAGTTCCTATACATTGTGTATGAAAACCAAAGGTTACCCCACCAAATAATTATGGCCGTCCAAGCCCTGATCCAAAACATCGGCACTCTAAAAATTACTATATATATATAGGAGGAAATTATGTCCAGCCCTTCAATATAGATGCTCTCCCAACTTGTGCTATTTTTGAACATGTCTGCCTTTTCTTTTTGGATACATGAATGGTTAAGCTTTTGCGGATTTGCTAGAAAGAAAATAAACCAATTTTGTGCCATTTTCAAAGGGGATTATTTCTAGCTGTGCCTAGTGCCTATTGGTAAGGCAAATTTTGAATCAGCCTCTTTGCCCCTTCTCTCCTCCTTTGTTCAAAATTTTTGACCGATTTGTCTTGGCTTCTTAACCAAGGAAACCATAGCAAAATGTTCAAAAAAATAGATGGTTTTATCCATTAATTCATTGTTAATTGCAGAACATTTTTTGTAGCAGGAGGAGACATTATGGAGAAGAAAGGGTCAGTATTGATGCACAGGTTTGAGCTGGGGCGGTTACTCGGGCAAGGGACATTCGCCAAGGTTTACTACGCCAGAAACCTGAGAACAGGCCAAAGCTGCGCCATTAAGATTATGGATAAAGAGAAGATAATGAAAGGAGGTTTGATAGATCAAATCAAGCGTGAAATCTCAGTTATGCGCCTTGTTAAGCATCCCAATGTTGTTCGACTCTACGAGGTCATGGCTAGCAAGTCCAAGATTTATTTTGTCATGGAATATGTCAGAGGTGGTGAGCTTTTCAACAAGGTTGCTAAAGGGAAGCTCAAGGAAGATGCCGCCCGACACTTTTTCCAGCAATTGATTGCAGCCGTTGATTATTGCCATAGCAGGGGAGTTTATCATCGGGATTTGAAGCCAGAGAATCTCCTCCTGGATGAAAATGGGAATCTGAAGGTTTCGGATTTTGGCTTGAGTGCGTTGAAAGAATCAAGGAGACAAGATGGCCTTCTTCACACCACTTGTGGAACTCCAGCCTATGTTGCACCAGAAGTCATCAACAAGAAAGGATATGATGGAGCCAAGGCTGATATTTGGTCATGCGGGGTTATTCTTTACGTTCTGTTGGCAGGTTTTCTTCCTTTCCATGAACCGAATCTCATGGAAATGTATAGAAAGATATGTAAAGGAGAATTCAAATGCCCACAATGGTTTCCTCCAGAAGTTCGGAAGCTTCTCTCAAGGATTCTTGATCCCCATCCAAGCCAAAGAATCACGGTGGCCAAGCTCATGGAAAATTGTTGGTTTAGGAAAGGGTATAAACATATTGATACCCCGCCACCATCCCCTCTCGCTCGTAGCTTAGACTCGTTAATTAGCGATGTTCATGCTACTTTTGACTCTTCAGGTTGTGAAAGCAGTTCTCAGGACGAAGCAGAAGTGCCAAGAAGCCCTGTCAAGCCGAGTTTTTTCAATGCTTTTGATATTATATCTCTTTCACAAGGTTTTGATTTATCAGGTTTGTTTGAGAAAGATTTTAATCAAAGGGATTATTCACGATTTACGAGTAGAAAACCAGCCACAGATATCTTTTCTAAATTTGAACAAATAGCTCAGACGGAGAGTTTTAGCATCAAGAATAAGGATGGAAAGGTAAAATTGCAAGGCACCAAGGAAGGGAGAAAGGGACAGCTTGGTATAGGTGCTGAGATTTTTGAAGTTACGCCTTCTTTTTATGTGGTGGAGTTAAAGAAAACTGCCGGGGATACCTTGGAATATAAAAATTTCTGTAACCAAGGATTGAAGCCTTCGCTGAAGGATATAGTGTGGACTTGGCAAGGAAGTGAGCAGCAAGCCAGCAACAATTATAGCCAGAACCTGCTTTGATTTTTTGCCTTACAACATGTAATTGCTGCCAGAAAGAGAGCTTCCTGCGCTCCTTGAGTTACAATTTCTTTTCCTATTTTGTACGTAGATTTAGTTTCTGTCTAATCAAGTTCCAACTGTAAAGAGGGTTTTAGTTCATGAACAAATTTAATTCTTCTAATAAAATTCTAAAAAAAATAAGATTACTTTAAACAAGTTCAACCTGCGATTTGTATGTCTGGCCAACATAGCAATAGCACAGTCCAGATGACATGATTTTCTTTTCATTTTTTTTTAATTGTTGGGGACAGTTGGGGTACAACAATTCAACGGTTTTCAAAAAGCGAGCTAAAAATACACTAGACATTCCTCCACTCTAGTACTCCGGCTCAAATGAAAATTGGGTTAGAGTATTCTCAAAATATATTATCAAAATTCATTAATTTAATCAAAAGATTAATTACTAAAAAAAAGGAGTTAAGATAGTTTATAAGAGAAAATCTAATCATTTTTATTTAGTGTGAAACACAAAAAAAAATTGAGTTTTTTTTTTTTTTATCTTCGTTAGGGTTAGAAATTTAAAAAATTAAGTTAAGGATTTGAAATTAAAAATTATAATCGGATTAATTTCCTAAATGTTAATATACATTCTCTTTTTATTTAAAAAAATATTATATTAATTATTATTATTTAGAATTGAAGTTTATGAGAAAAAATTTAAAAAAATTTATAAAATCTTTCATTAATTTTCATGATCTATTTGAGTAAATTATTGAGTTTTGTTTACTTCATGTTATTAAGATTTAATGATGATTTTTTAGTGGATTTTAATGTTAAAAGTGGAGGTTTGAATTTTTAAAAATTGAAAGAGAAATTATGTTTTTATATGAGATGCTATTATCTACTACAATAAATTAAAATGAAATTTTATATCAATAGATAAATTATTACTATAAGTAGATTATATATTGTTGAAAATGCTGAATTTACTTTCCAACGAAACAAATAAAAGTCGATTCTAAGTTTTTATGAAGAGTTGTTTAATTTTTATTTAAGGATGTGTAGATTACTTAGCAAAAGTAGTAGAGAAGAATTATGAAAATTCTCTTAATTTTTATACAATGAATTACAAATTGAACCATATATGTTTAGAAAGTCTGTTGAGTTTATTTTCTAAAGAAATACTCAGAACTGAATTCTAAGTATCCTATGAATAAATATTTAATTTTTATTAGAAAGTATACATGTTATATGGTAGCAGCATATCACATAAATTACAAAAAGTATTACAATTAATTTATATGAAATTAAAAGGTAAGCCAAATATGATTAAAAAACTCATCGAATCTAGTTTATAACGTACTAAAAAAATCTTAATTCTAAGTTATATATTTTAAGATATGATCATTTTAATGAAATTAGCTCATGCTGCTAGTATTAGTTACTTGAGTAACTCTTGTATAATTTAGTTGTTTTAACATAAATAGCCTCAAAAAATGTAGATTAATTTTTGATGTATTGAAATGATCTTAAATATGACATTAATTGTTTTGAAAAAAAAATAAATGGTGGAATCAAAACGAGATAAATAGAATCTCATATATTTTACTTGTTTTCGAATTTATGTATATTTATGTTCTAAATGAGTGAAAGTTTTATTTCTTTATTTTTTATATATGAAAATAGAATCAAACATATGATTATTTTGTACTTTAGTTATATAAATGATGGATCATATCGATGAATAAAATGATAAATTAATTTATGCTTAAATAATAATTTTATGATAGCTACAAATTTGTATCCTTAAGAAATGGGATCATCAACACCAAAACTAGTTTTATGACTCTAGTTAACAGGTTAGAGCAGTTAGCATAGCCATAATCATATGCTAATGATTAATGGGTTATAATAATTAGCATAAAGCTTTGGCTAACGGGTTATAACAATTACTAATGCTCATGAGGATAAAATTATTGATACGACCACTATTACGAGTTATAGTAGTAATCGCAACTAATGATGAATTAATAATAATGATAATTTATGATGATGAATTTACAATTTTAAAAATTGATTCATGATTTAGATCTTGATCATGTTTTATGAATTATAATTGATGAATTGATATGATATCAATCCTTTGAATACTTATTTAAATGTTTTAGAAGTATAATTTGAATGATATTTCTAAATGATTTATATGTATATATATAAAAAATGATACTTGATTCGATAAAGTATATAAACTTATACTTGTAGAACTGTGATTTATTTGTTTTTTTTTTTAACTTTTCTTTTACAAATGATTAAAATGATAAATACTAAAAGAACCTAGCCAGTGAAGATATTACTTCGCAAATAAAATTTTATGAAATAATGTCTTTTAGTTGTATTAGTTGACACTGACTTTTTGAATATTTATTATTTAGTTGGTTTATATATATTAAATTTATGTGAGGAGATTATTTTATTTGAAAATTTTTCAACAATTATAAAAAAAGTTTCATATTATTTTAGGATTTTACTTTAAGATAATATGATTGTACTGTATCTCGATTTCGAAAAATAAAAAGTTGTATAAGAGTTTAAGTTATGATTTTTGAAGAACTTTTAAGAGTTAAATTATAATTTTTAAATTATATGATTTTTTTTTAAAGATTAAGCTATGATTTTTGAATAGATTAAACTCAAGTTATGACCTTTAGAGATTTTTATTAAAAGATTTGAGTATAATTTTTGAATAAATGGAGATCTTTTATGAGTATAGTTTATTTTTATGCCATGTGAAAATGTTTAAGAAGAAATTCACTATTCGTGAAATTTAAAAATATTGATAGAAAATTATACTTGCATAATTTCAATTTTTTTTTAATTTCATTTAATTTAGATTTATCAAAACTCGATCGATTTCAAAATTATATAATTTTGCTAATATTATTTATTTAAATTTAAATCAAATTGTTTAAAATTCAAAATCAAAACGATTAAAATCTCTGTTTGAGTCAATTTTTTTAATTTTTTAAATTTTTTTCTCAACCCTACTAGAAGCTAATCAACGACCTAATTTAATAATTTTTTTAGGCCAGATAAGAAGTTGAAGTTGTTAAAATGAATCTTCGAAACCAAGCCAGGGTGCGTCCTGATTCACGGTTCACATGCCAAAAATGGATATGTGCATGTTCTTACCAAATACAGGCAAAATAGCTAGTTGCTTCTTTTACCGTGCATGTGGATGTGCACTTGGATAGAAAACTTTGAAACTTTGAAAAAAAATTGAAATGTATGTATTTTAAAATGTATCATTTTAAAATATTAGTATTTGTAATTATTTTGTTTGGACAAATAATTTTTACAAAAAAATTTAGTTTATTGAAAATTGATGAGATAAAAAAAATAATTATAAAAGAAGAATATAATATTAAAAATAAAAATATATATATGTATATATAAATACACAATGAGTATCATTGAATTTGTAAAAATATATAAATATTATTAATAATATAAAAAAATAAAAATTATATATTAGAGTTAAATAAAATGATATTTATTTTTTTACTTTTGTATTTTATATTGGGTCATATGTGTAGTAAAGAGATGAAAGATTTAAAATAATTATAACAAACCCTAGATGGAATTTCAAGAAGAAATTTGAAGTTTCCAAAGTCTACTTAAATTTTGAAGTTCTCTCTTATTTCTATTCAAACAAGTAAATTTATTTTTAGATTTTTGAAAACCTTAATTGAAATGAAATCATTCCTTCAAATTATTGATCCAAATACACCCTCAATGTCAGGAGTCTGAACCATAAAATGGTTACATTACTTTTGGAGGGAAGGATTTGTTTCTTACACGGTTATACCTCTATTTTGTTTCAAAGTAGTAAAGAATAAAATCTATTGCACCTTTAAAAAAAAAAAGTCATAAATTTCACTCCGGAAGAACCGGCAGCACCAGGTAGGTGTGTTTAGCATTTGAAACTAGAACGTAAGGGCTGCGGCTACAAAATTCTCTACAAATTTCCTTGTGTCAGGAAGATTAAGCAATTAAGCTTTTGAAGCTACACTACACAAATGCATTTTCTCCGTATAGACAAATACATTAGTAGGATGTTAAAAAAGCTTAGATCGGCACTAGAAGCAGAATCCTCAGATTTTATTGTCAGGGCAGTAGTCGTCTGCAGCATGGAAAGATAAGTGGCAAAACCGGAAGCAAGTTCGGCAACCTATTCAATCCAAGAATCCCCTGCTTCAGGCTGATGAATTCCCACTTTCGAAGAAGAAACTTCGTAAATTTTGGCAAGGAATTGAATTGTCTTTAACAATTAAAAAAAAAAGTCTCCAATCCATGAGAAAACATAATAAACAAAGGGACCAAGGCCCAAGGTGCAGCCAGCATTTTCCCCAGTAGGCCCGACAGAGCACGACTGGAAATTGTATCTGGATCAATTGGTACTTAGTAGTGCTTCTCATTTGTTACTAAAGTTCATATTTGAATATCTGTAAGTTGGCTGCTACACTTTTTTCTTTATGCAAATTATTAAGCCAAAGGTCTGAATGTCTTCTTTCAATTGCAGGACTGTAAACCCCAGCATAAGCTAAGTGATCAAACTTTGGCGACATTGCTCTGTAACCCCAATAACTTGTTGTTGAAAACACCTTGAACTCACGCATGCCTGAGCCTTGCTGAATCCTGACTGCTTCCATCAAAACTCCCATGGCTGCTATGAATCCTTTTATATATTCTCATCAACTAACCTGAGTTACTGAGAAATCAAATTTACGGGGCGAACACATCGACATTACTTATTTGCACGACAGGCAGCGATATAGCTACAGTTATGGATACTTGATCAAGGATGCAAATTGGCACAACACAACAACGAACAGCTTGCAAGAAAAACAAATTTAACTCCATCCGAAAAAGACAATTAAATGGAAAATCAAGGCTTAAAGATCTTTTATTGAGATAGCTCGAAAAAACAAAAACAGCACCATAGAATTGTGACATTTTTAATATCTTTCATAGACTTCGGCTAAGAAAACAACCGAAATGTTAAAAAGAAAAACATGTTAAACTAAATCAACATTTTCATTTGATAAATGCTAGAAAAGATGTGTCCAGAATTCAAACAAACGTATAAAAAAGAGGTTAAAATTTCCAATGAATTTTCAATCAGTGATGCAGGCTTTCACTCATTTCTGATCCACCTGTCTCTCATTCATTCAAGGCTGTCCATTAAAAAGAAAAACTGAAACTGTACAGGAAGAAAATGACAAAAAAGGAAAAGCCAGTTTCAAGTCGTATATTTGTGTCATAACTAGGCGTGCTAATGAATAATGATAATTAAAGCTTCCTACACTTTGGAAAAAAGGCAATTGACCCAGAAATGATGTGAAGAAAAATATAAAACCTATCAAAGTAGCTATTCACCTGACTTAAATTATTATCGCGAGGGACTGTAGAAAAGTAGACAGAGATGAAGTATAACATTACCTGTAAAGATATTAAAAAAAAATCGACAAGTCAATGTGTTTTTACAGTAAATAAGCACATGCTTTCTACATTGATCATGAATCTATGCTTATCTCCAAATGAATCTTAATTGATACATGAAATCTCTTTCATTGTCATATAATGCAAGCCACCAGCCACTCCCATATATGGTAAGCGACATTGGCAATATTGCAGGAAAACAAGGAATATTGAAACAGAATAAACCAAAGACATTATTAATTTTGCTGTTAATAGTTTTTGTAGGGGTTTTAGCAATTTGCAAAAAGAACATATATTCATAATAGCTTGATTTGCAAGAAAAGGCATCCGCTGCCTTTCACTTGACTAAAATCGTTTGATTCAAAACGTCCTCTAAACTAAATTTAGAAGATCTTCTGAAACTAACATTATTAGCACAATTTAGCATTGATATCTAGATAATTTTATGTTATCAGCACCACTTTGGTAACTTCAGCAAATCTGGATTTTGAGTTTCTTGCAGCCCATTTTTTGAATGATTTGAGTCATTCAAGTGACAGTGAAAAAGAAACCCTTTACAGAAATTTAATAATAATAATAATTTAATCAAGCTACACGCATTGGCCAAAAAATTCGAATCTAACGCTGGCCTGGAGTACTGCTATTTTTGTATTTTACGCCATTGACCATCAAAAGCAACAAAACACATAAAAATGGTTCCAAATTTCATTTCTCATGGTTGTTATAATGACAACATGGGGCCACATTTAATAATGTCATAACAATGTCTCATAAATGGCCAAACCTTATAATTGCCTCATACCTACGCAATCCAGGGGCCAATTCAAATTCCATTGACATCAACGACAGACGAATTAAATGTCAAGTAAATTTTGTTTCAGTCCTCTAGACAAGCAGACACACTATCAGACAACTAGTTGGAACTTTATTGTGACATTTGAGTAATTTTGGCATGAAATGCAATGGCTGAAATTGCAATTTATTTGTACTGCTCCAATTTCAGCAAATGTGCAACGCATGGACAGAGAAGAGACATGACAGGCCCAAGCTATCAGATTTGGACATGTAATTTCTTCATGCCAAAATATAGGTTTCCTTTTCCTCGCACAGATGTTTTCCATGACACTTTAGATTATCAAGACTTTTCTGCTTCACTTAATAAGGGTCAATTGTATGTGCGGAGTGACCCCAGTCTACTTATCTAGCATAAACTTTTGAACGGTCTCAAGAATCTCATAAGAACACAACTCAACTATATATTGTATCTAATGCCTTAAGTGGAAAGATAGGCACAATTTACTACTAGAAGGCGAAAACTGTTCCATAATCATATAAAAACCTGCAAATCATTATTCCTACAAAATATCTGCTCTTCGATTTTTATGGTTTCAAATTAGGTTTTAATTCTTATAGTTCTTATAGTTAAAACTAAGAAGAACTTTCAGTTTTCAGCAGCAAATACTAAACTCAGCTGGTTAGAATTTTTTTTCTTCTAAAAAATGATTATTCCAAATCTTCAACTGGTTTATGTTTAAGGCTTTTGAATAAAGGAGTGGAGTTCATGAGTCAGGTCATACTTGAAATAACTGCAAGTGCTATTGCTTGAAAAGCAAGGCCAAAGTTGCAGGTAGAAATCCAGTAACAGAGATGAAGCAAAAAATTGCATACTAGATGCTAATGCATAGTATTGAACTTCTGTCATACTAACAGTCAAAATATATAATATAAAAGACTATATAAATCAAGTGTGACATTAATTCATTTCTCAATGAAGTTGATGGGAATATACAAACCGGAAATCCAATTGCCAAGATTAGTAGAAATTTGTATGCAAGTCTCTGTAATCTAATCTGTCCTTCTCGACAGAAGAATAGATCATATAAATATATCAAGTCATCTAAAGCTTCGCCTAAGTAGCACAACAAAAAGAAAGAAAAGAAATATAACTTATTTTTTATGATACAAAAGCCTAAACAAAAGAAAGAAGGAAAAGCAGAGAGAAAGAGAAAAGCTTACCCTTTTCCCTTCCTCCTCTCTCTCTACTCCGTATCCGAAGGTAAAAATGAAGCAGCGGTCGCAGCAGCTGCAACAGATCGTGATTCCTCCACCATTAAATTCTCTAACCCAGGTTTCAACTCCCTGTTACAAAACTCTTCATATTCTCCTCGGTCCCCTCCTTTCTTCTTTACTTCCACAACAACCAAAGAAGGCGTCAACTCGAATATCTCAGCAGCAATTGTCAATGGCCCTTTCACCCCTTCTCTAGAACCCTCCAAACTCACTCTACAATCCTTTTTCCTCACTGTAAAACGAACCAACTTCGCTATCTCCTCCAATTTCGATATAATTTTCGAAACAGGTGCCCCTGACAAAAACCTTGACCCTTCCTCTCCTTCCTCAAACAATCCAGATAAATTGAATCCGGGAGAAAATGAAATAAGATCAAACGCATTTAAACTAGCTGGCCTCGGCAATGTACCAATTCTCCTCCTAGTTTCCAACTCAGATTCAGATTCAGACATTGATGACTGGTCCGAACATGATCCCACGCCATCATCGTCCTCCTCAACACTGCAAAATTTATCATCTTCAATGTAAAATTTAATATGTCTAAACCCCTTTTTAAACCAACGGTTCTCCATGATTTCAGGAATCGTTATTCTGGTTTCCGGATTCGTATCCAGAAGCTTCGTAAGTAACCGAATTAACTCAGGTGAAAACCATCTCGGACACCTAAACTCACCCTTGTAAATCTTCTTATACATAGCCATAATGTTTTGATCGTGAAACGGTAAATACCCCGCCATTAAAACAAACAAAATTACCCCGCAAGACCAGATATCTACTTTCGCCGCATCGTATCCTTTCCTCGCCAAAACTTCCGGTGCCACGTAAGCAGGGGTCCCACAAAACGTATGAAACAAACCGTCTTGCCGGATCTGATCCGAAACGGCGCTCAATCCGAAATCTGAGACTTTCAAATCCCCGTTTTCATCAAGGAGTAGATTCTCGGGCTTCAAGTCACGGTGATATACGCCGCGGGCGTGACAGAAATTGACAGCCGAGATCAATTGCTGGAAGTATTTTCTGGCGATGACTTCTTTTAATCGGCCTTTGGCTACTTTATTGAAAAGTTCGCCACCACGGACGTATTCCATAACGAAGTAGATCTTAGATTTGGTGGCCATGACTTCGAAGAGTTGTACGATGTTCGGGTGGCGGACGCGGCGGAGGATGGCGATTTCGCGCTTGATGTGAGCGATTAAGCCACCTTTGAGGATTTTTTCCTTGTCGAGTACTTTGATGGCTACGCTGTCACCGGATTTGACGTTCCGCGCGTGGTAAACTTTAGCGAAAGTGCCGTGTCCGAGGAGTTTCCCGATCTCGTAGCGTCCTAAGAGAAGAGCTTGGCCACCGTTGGGGTCTTTCTTCGTTCCGGTGGCGGCGACGGAGGTGAAATACATTATCGTGGGGGTTAAGTTTGATTATTTGAGATAATTAAATTTGAATGGTTAATGATTGGTCATCTGAAGGAGGAAAATTTAGGGTTTTTGTGTGCGTATTTTTTCTCTCGTTGTTGAGAGGATGAGTGACCGGTCACAAGAAATTGAGTTTGTTATGAGGTTAGAGAAAGGAGATGCTTTTAAATAGCAAGGAAATTATTTTATTGTGGGTTTCCTTTTACATTTCTTCTAATAGTAGTAGTAGTAGTATATTTTTCCCTTTCACGAGCGTTTGCATGTTAATGTTAAATTGTAAGATTGTTTTCAAGAAATTTGTCGAACAACTCTAGCACAGGTGGATGGTAAGCAGGGCTAGGGGGCCAACATTTTTGAAAATTTACTTCCATTCATATACATATATATATATATATATATATATTTACATTAAATAAATTTAAATTGAAAGTTAATTTAAATTTTTTAAATTAAAAGAATAAAATTAAATTGATATCTATTTATTTATTTTATCTATTAATTATCATTAACAAACACTTAAAATCGATTGATTTATAATAAATATTAAATCATAATTCATGTAAATTTTAAAAAAATTCTATTTAATTTTTTTAATTCTAGATTTTATTGAGTAAAATAAATTAAATTTGAATTTTTAATTGAAACATTAAAATTTATCCTTTTTTTCTATCATAGTTGTGACTTATTTTGATAGAAATTTAAAAATAAAAAACACATTACCTCATCAATGGATTTATTAAATTTATTTTAATTATTTTTTATATCTATAATAACTAGTGAATTGAGTGAACATTTTCAGTTATAAAAATTATCAAAATAAGATTTTTAAATAAGATGGAATATGAGTTTTTTTATAGATAACTTGATTGTCAATATAGGAAAAAAATTAGTGTACATTCAATTGTTGAAGCATTTTTTTTTAATTAAACATTGCTTAAATTATAAATAAAATTATTTACTTGCTACATTTTATTTTCTTGTATTTTTATTTTGAATTCAAAAAATTTAAAATTTTATAAAATTTTTTAGTATATTATTACATATATGTTTTATGTTAATAAAATATATATTAATATAACTCAAATAAAAACATATATAATTTTTAATTTTTAATTGGTCTCTCAAAATCAAACACCAAGATCAATCACTAAACTCTGGATTTTAATTTTTTTAACAAAAAAAAAATTCTCCAATTAAAATTTGTCTCATTTGAGAATATTGTTATTGGTTAAAATAATTATTTTAAATACCACAATTTGAATTATAAAATCACTAATCTCTTTTTAGCGAGGAGGACAAAACTAGGGAGAATAAAAAAAAAATTATCAATAAATGATTGGTTCAATCGATTAAGATTATTTTTCTCAACGAAGAGATCTTAGATTCACGTCTTGTCGGTGATCATTTGTTGAAATTTTCTCGAATGTACAACCTATAGCCACATATCTTAGACCTACAGTCACTTATCTTAAATTATTAGATATGACACATCTTGTCTTAATCTGAAAAACTGAACAGTCTATTTACCTCTGAATTTTTCTTATCAAAAAATAAATAAAAAAATAAAAAAAAATTTTGTGAGTGTTATAATCAAACTTCAAACCTACATTAATTAATCTCTTAAAAGAGATAATAAATTTTTTTATATATTTTTTTTAATATTTTACATTTTTTTTTACAAAAGTTCACCTCAATCTTATAAAAAACTAAATATATTTTTTTTTAACAATGACAGAACCTAATTTTGTCCGTTTCCTTAAGTTTAATAAGAAAGGTAAATAATATTTTTTTTTAATTAAAGATTCTTATTAATACATTTTTATCGTGATAATTTGTGACTCTCTCATTTGACAAGAGTATAACGGTCGGAATCTACGTGGGAATTAATAAGGAGAGAGAGATGGTGACCTTTTCCTCGTGACAGCTCAACACTTTCGAAGACGGAGCGATTCATTCAAATTGCAAGTATCACGTGTTACGGCGGCATTGTCAGGTATGTAATGTTTAGACTTGAGGATGGAGAGTAGAGGAAAGAACCAACCTCTAACCCACTTTTACAAACCCAACCGAATAGACCGACTTCCCTTCTGGCCGTCACCACGTGTTCCTTCGTTAACGGTGCTTACGTGGGTGCGGCACCATTTGAACCTGATCCTGTGCCGCCCAAATAAACGCAAGCGTGTAATAATCAGCATTTTATTACCGTTGGATTTGACGTAGCTAAAGATATTTGTACGATGGTTGGGCTATAAACTGTGGTGTTGTTGCCAAAGGATTGGGTGAGAGACATGGCGGATCTACCCTTTACAAACTCAAAAATTATAAAATAAAAAAATTTATAGAATTTATTTTGCACATTTTTAACATTTTTCAGAACTCTCCAAAAAAATTATTAAAAATTTTCTATAAACATTTCAAAAAATTTTTTATAGATAAAATTAATAAATTTATTAATAATTTTTATATATTATAAATAAATATACTTAAAAAATTTATAAATCCCTCACTATGAACAATAATCAACTTGATGATCAATATGATTTAAGATGCATAACCAATAAAATAACTTTGTCTTTTTTCTTTGACTTTATGATAATTATTTGAAGAGTTTTATTTCTCAAACGAAATCAATTTTCTTGCTTAATTACTTTGTAAGTGATAAACATTCATGTCAATCATTAGTGTTAAAAAATCAAATCGTATAAATATATATATATATTGGAGAAAATTTTCGACTGTGCTTGATTATATTTTTATTATAAAAAATTAAAAATTATTTATTTTTTAATGATTTTGTTTTTATTTATGTATGAAAATATAAATAAATTATCACTTGTAACATTTTAAAAATTTTATTTTAAAGGAAATTATCAAATGTCATTCATTTAGGACTTCAATTAAGATCAGTCAATTCTAAAATAAAAAAGACTAACTTTTATATTTGTTGATAAATTAGGCCTTCAATTGAGCCCAATCAATACTAAAATTAGAAAGATTACCTTAAATGATAGTAATAGATAGATTTGGCACCTATTCATATACAACATAAACTGTAAAACTGAAGTGAAATTTGTACACAATTTAATGTTTCCTTGTTGGGATATTGAGTTTGAGTTATTTTTGTTAGTTCTACCTACTAAGTTCTACATTTCTACCTTTCCTATTTGAGCCATAGATCCAATTACAAATGGGTTTGGTCTTCTGGGTCAGAAAAGTAGCATTGATTTGGAAGTCAAAAATGTTTGGGCTAGAACCCAGATTTCTAACAGTCTAACCTTACCATTTTCCAACCCTAGTCTCCCCAAGGGCTCATGATTTGGATTAGCTGGATTTCTAACCCAATTCATGCCCTATTATTGGAGGCCTTATTATCTTGCACATTTGAAATTGTGGAATGGCTTAAAAATTCAGAGTTCTGCATATACATGCACCGTGTATTAAAATCTTCAAGTGAATTCTAACAATTCACTTGCTAAGAAACCTTTCTAAGTATTAAAATTTATGATTATGATGATTACTCGTTGTTCAACAGTCAATGATTAATCAACCGTATCAAGATAGTAGTAGTAATAATTTAATCCATATTAGTATGATTTGGATAAACCACATAGATTATATCATACTCATGCTTTATTTAGTTTAAGTTTGAATTATATCACACATTTAATGCAATATAATTGAGCTCATTATTTTATTAATTAATTCAAATATTAATTTTTATAAAATTCATTCAATATAAAATTTTTATTAAAATTTTTAATTATAATTACAATAATTTTATTGTAATTATAATTATAATAATTTTTTTTTTTATTTTATCAAAATTAATCTCACCAACTTGCATATTGCAATCATAGAACGCCATCCTCGACATCCCCGACATCCCATCACGCTTTGAAAGTAACCATTAATATTTTTATCTATTTCAGTTATGCATGCAGTCAAAAGCAACACAGATTTACAACGGGCTGTCACCCACTAATTATGTTCGTACAGGTAAAAAAGAAAATGCATTTACCTGCAGTCGAGCTGTACTAGCTAAAGTTCGATTATTATATTCTATTTTCAATATCGTGATATGATAAAAAAATACATACATATAAAGATTCTGCCACTTCAACTTTTAGGTGGGATCTCAGGGCTTACAAATTTTTAGTTACTTTTTCTCAATCTTAGTTTGTCATTCCTTTTGGAATGTTGGGTTGGAATTTATGCGGATTAGGTGAATCCAATCCAACCATCGACTTACTCTCCAACCCAAGAACTGGCAGTATATTGTATACTGGGAATATATTGTTTATAAATGAAGATAAAAGAAAAACGATAGAGTAATTCAGCCAAAAATCACATGACGTGAGGGAGGCAGGTGAGCGATTTCGAAAATTCGTAACAATTTTTCAGTAAAATATTGAAGATAAATTTTATATAAATTTTTTTAAATGATCTAATAAAAATTAAATTTAAAATTTAATATGAAAATTAATAATATAAAAATTATTAAATTTGATAGATCCATATTTAATAATAAAAATTTTGTTAATATTTTTATTAAAAATATTTATCTAAAAATATATAAAGTTTTTTTACATTTTTATACACTTAAGTTAAAAAACAACAACTTTTAATTTAATCATTCTAAATACAAAATTTTATCTAAAATTTTCCGAAATATTGAATGGTTAGATTTAATCCTTAACAAAATTAAATATAAATGCGGGAAATAAGCAAAAAATTGAAGTGGGACGTGCTCATAGAAAATGCTTGCACTGTGAGGGCAATGTATGGGCTGAATTTGGATAATTGAAATATTTTTTTGAAAATTTCAGTCAAGATTTTTGAACATGATGGTGTGAATATCAAAGTTTATGCTATATATATACTATCGTTTAACAAATAAAAGTAGATATGCTTTTTTCAAAAAGTAACAGAATAATGGTAGTGGAGCCGCTCCAATCACTTGTATCATGTGACAATTAAACCTAATTAATTCCTCAATGATTTGGTTGTCCATTACCCATAGATTACCAGAGGAATTGTTGTGGTTGGGGTTCGTTAAGGGAATGCCTTTTCCGAGAAAATATTTTTGATCCTGAATTTTCACACCATTCTTTCAACTCTCAGTACTAATCTTTAGATCGATATTCGATTTGTTTAATCCAAAGAAGCATACAGCACGATTGCTGAAACCAGAAATTAACAAATGTACAACCTTTTCGATCTTTCTTTATATAATTTGATTGACCATATCAAGAAATATCAAAGGGAGTACATTCAAAATCTCAAATACTACTATCTACTAAGATATCAATGGATAGAATATAAAAAAGATAAAGTATTTTTTATCTTTATTTCTTAATTTTTATATTATATACATTATCATACTTACATTTAATGAATATTTTAAATCTATCTTTATTTATATTTTTGTGAATATTTAATGGATATGGGATTATCCATATTCATAGCCTAAAAAAAATAAAAATGTATTTTTTAATTTTTAATTTTAATTTTATATATTTAGGTACATTTTTTATCAATATGTATTAATATATATTTTAAATAAAATTATATTAATTTTAATTAATTTAAAATAATAATTTATATTATTTAATAAAAAATCTATTTATTAAATATATATAAACATATATGCAAGATATTGATATGAAACATATGCTATAATACTTGCGTTCATTTTCATTTCATATTTAATAAAAATTTAAAATTATATCTATTTTTATTTTTATTTTTATTCAGATAAAAAATTAAATTTTTTATTGAAATATAAATAAAATTGACAAAGAATAATAGATTCTCAGATATATATGACGTACTCGTTTTACGTTAAAGAAGTCGACATTTTCCAATGTGATAGAACAAGCAAAATGAAGTGGAAACTATAAATGCTTGCTTGGATACTACTTCTACATAAAATGACCATAAGAGACAGAAGTAGCCATAAACTTTGTGCAGTACACTGCAAAGCCTCCAAATTATAACATGACGTGTTGTGGTAAGCAAAATTTTTTAGGGTCAAAGACCAGTTTTTTGGTTAAAATAGCTGGATAGAAACTACTGATGATTTCAACAGATGTGTCCAAAATTGAGGTTTGAAATAGAATTATGAGCCAATTATGGAGCATACGCGTTAAGGCTTTGATCTGGAACACCAACGTTTTCCCATTTTGATAAGGAATTGAACTTTCTTTTTCTGAGACGGCTAGACTCTCATCATCTGCAAAGACCCAGCATTTGCATTAATCTCCAGTCTCCACTTGTATCAGAAAGAACACCAAACTTTGACCCCTTCAAAATGAAAATTATGCATATGGAGCATGGTTGAGCACCATGATATCTTCTGTTTTTGGGAGAGATCTCACTGCTGTTGATCAAAGGAATGATCAAAAGCAGGGGTCCCATTGATAAACAATAAGCTCGTTTTTGTCACTCCGAATGAGGCAAATCTGGGTGTGTAATGGCTAAAATGACCAACCTATACAACAAATGAGAACTGCACTAAAGATCAAAGAAGCAAACCGATGGGTTTTTACTGGTGGGAATTGCGAATAGGTAATTTGGTCCAAGTCAGGGTTGTTTTTCAGCAATCACCGCATCAGCGAATGGTGATATTTAAGACTATCCGAGTCAGAGACTCAGACTCGGTGACTATTGACAATTACATGCCACAGTCAACCCCATAGGCACGTTCACACAATTCACGCCGTTAACTTTTCTCACCTTTATACCGACGCCGTTAACTTCCACAATCCTATGTACTTTGCAGTCCCTTGGAAGTAAAGAAGACCCATTAACCAACTCCTCTTTCTCTTCCTCTCCCGCTCTGTCCTTTCTCTCCCCCGCCTCAAAACCCATCAAGATAAAGTCAAGCATAAGACAATCTTTTTTCATATCATTCTTCACTTTGCCTCCCTTCTTCTATCTATCTCTGAGCATGGAAATGCATAGAAGTGCAAAAAAGATTGATGCTTGAAGTGCAGAGATGGAAGTTCTGGGCAGATTTTTACTTCTGTTTTCGCTGGTGGTAGCAGTACAATCTACATGCAACAGTACAGACTACGGATTGGTTTCTAATGCTTTTAAATCAGTCTCTGGATTCAACATCTCTTGGTTGAAATCCCAGGATGTGAACTGCTCATGTCCTCCAATAAAGGTATTAAAGTTTTCTTCAAAGAATTTAACTGGTAATATTTCATGGAAATTTCTCAGGAACATGTCACAGCTGCACACGATTGATCTCTCCAACAATTCTCTTCAAGGTTCTGTTCCCGGCTGGGTTTGGTCTGTTCATACACTGGTTGAGGTCAATTTGTCCAAAAATAAGTTTGGAGGGACTATTGGGTTTGAATTCACCTCGGGAAATGCTTTGTCTTCATCGATGCGTGTGCTAAACCTTTCAGCTAACAGGTTCACCAACTTGGTTAAACTCTCTGGTTTTTCCAAGCTTCAGTTTCTTGACCTTTCCCACAATGATCTTGGTATTCTTCCCTCTGGGTTCACCAACCTTACCAGGCTGGAGCATCTGGATATTTCAAGTTGCAAGATTTCTGGCAGTGTAAAGCCCATTTCTGCCCTTAATTCATTAAAGTACTTAGATGTATCAAACAACTCCCTCGACGGTACTTTCCCTTCTGATTTCCCTCCAGTCAATAACCTAAAGTTCCTAAACATTTCGCTCAACCACTTCACCGGTTCAGTTGGCTTTGACAAGTTCCAAAGATTTGGCAAATCTGCTTTTATTGGAAATTTCGTTTTCAATACTTCAAAAAAAACACCAAGCAATCACATTAATTCCTCGACCCCAGCTGATCACAAAGTCTTCCACAAAAAATTACCCCTCAAAAATCACAACAAAAAACATAAAACCAACTCAAAGACCAAAGCTTTAATCATTGGTTTATCATGTTCATCAGGTTTTCTACTTGCTTCCCTTGTTTTTTGCATCTTTTGCACGTATAGAAGAAAAAATCTAGCAAGGAGAAACAAGTGGGCAATCTCCAAACCGTTTCAACCAAATTTCAAGATAGAAAAATCAGGACCGTTCTCCTTCGAGACAGAATCAGGATCATCGTGGGTAGCAGACATCAAAGAACCAACTTCAGCACCAGTGATCATCTCCTCAAAGCCGTTGATGAACTTGACCTTCAAGGACCTGATTGCCGCCACGTCACACTTCGGCAAGGAGTCCGTACTCGCTGAAGGCAGATGTGGACCCCTTTACAGAGGCATCCTCCCAAGTGACCTCCACGTGGCAATCAAAGTCCTTGAACATGCCAGAGACGTTGATCATGATGACGCTGTAGCCATGTTTGAAGATCTTTCTAGGCTCAAACACCCTAACCTGCTACCTCTATCCGGTTACTGCATTGCAGGTAACTGTACCAAAACTGTTATTATTACATCTCTGACCTTCTCGTTTTTGACTAAACAAATGTTACTGTATTAAATAGCCTCACGGGATTCTTTGAAAATTTGAAAACATCAATCGGCTCTCGTACCCGCTAAACTGTTTACCTCATTGTCACGTAAATCTAGCACATGCCATCATTACATATTTTGACATTCGTGTATTTGTGCAGTTCTTTTCACCCCATGCATTACATTTTCTGCTACCTCGTTAATTATCAAAATTAAAATATTTTTTATACTAAAATATGTCTTGTTTCTTTTTCTTTTTTTTTTTTATTTTTTTAAGGTAAGGAGAAGCTGGTGTTGTATGAATTTATGGCAAACGGGGATTTACACCGCTGGTTACACGAGCTGCCAACAGGGGCATCCAACGTGGAGGATTGGAGCACCGACACGTGGGAAAATCACAACGGAATCGGGTCACATAATTCTTCGCCCGACAAAACCAACTGGCTCACGCGCCATCGTATTGCAGTCGGAGTTGCTCGTGGGCTCGCTTACCTCCACCACGTGGGGTCCAGCCACGGCCACCTCGTGGCTTCCAATATTCTGCTCTCCGACAATTTCGAACCTCGGATATCTGATTTCGGGATTAGAAATATTGGGTCTAAAAAGGATGAAAACGACGCAGAAATGGATGTTTATTGTTTTGGTGTTGTTTTGATGGAGCTTTTGACGGGGAAGCCAGGGACGGAAGACAATGTGAAGTGGGCGAGGAGGTTAGTGAAGGAAGGGAGTGGACTCGAGGCGCTTGACTCGAGGTTGAGACTCGGTGATGAATCAGATGGTGAGATGGTGGAGAGTCTCCGAGTTGGATACTTGTGTACGGCGGAGACACCTGGGAAAAGGCCCACGATGCAGCAAGTTCTGGGTTTACTCAAAGACATACATCCAGCGGTGGATTTCAACTGATTTGATGGGTAAAAAGTAAACCACGCTCCAATACTCTTTGGAGGTTACGTTCACGCGCTGTTAAACTACTTAGAATTAAATGTGAAGTTAATTTTTGGACAGGACCATGCCCTGTCGTCTCTCAAATTGGAATGTTTTATTTTCTTCTTTTTTCTTTTTTTAATGGTGTACATAGAGAAAAGAATTTATGGCTAAAAAAAAAAGAAAAAATGGGCCCAATAAAAAAGAAAAATAAAAAGAGAAAAAAAAGGAGGTGGGGTAAGGTAAAAGAAGGAGATGTTCACCAACCGATGAGTGGAGAGGGCAGACCACTTATTGCTTGTCTCTTCTCATGAGGAAGAAATCCATCATCAACCATGCTTTTTCTCTTTTCTAATATTTTTCATACTTATTTTATCTTTTCTCTTTTATTTTTTGCTTTATTCCTTTGTTTTTTTTCTTTTTCTCTTTTGTCATGGATATCTCTTTCATTTCGGAAAAGTAAATATGATTAAAAACGACAAACATAATCTCATTATCCATGTCAATATCATCAGCAACGTGTTCCAGCTGCCCAGAGCTTCAACGTGGGTGTTTCAAAGCTTGGCGAGCAGTTGCTTTTATCAATCTATCATGTAGTTTTGTGGCTTAAAATTTACATACGGCTGATGCTCTGTTATAGATTGGGAAAGAAGAGGGTTTGAGTCAAAATTTGTAGGCTATGTTGCCCCTTTGGCAGTGGCACACCGGTCCAGTACAATGTCAACATCTGGTTTGGTATGATGGAAACCTACCTACGGCTAAATGCAAGCAATCGAGATCATAAAACTAAGGAGAAGAAAATAAGCTTTAACTAGTATTTGAAAGTTTGTATACGATGTATCTATCATTGTGGAGGATGGTCTAAAGACTGCCAAAGTGCTAACATAAAACAAACAGATATGGTCATATGGCTCATAGGAGTATACATCGTTGGTCGGTCAAAAGCTTTTCTTTTTTGGCAAGATTGTAAGAGCAAAGCTTTACTTGATAAAAGAATAATAATGAATTGAATACTAATTTACCTCATTAATAAAATAATATAAAATTTATATATTAATAATGTATCAAATATAAATATTGGATTGAAGTGTCTCTATCTATTTAGAGTCTTTTGTGATCTTAACGTAATCGATCTTCATATGAAAAGTTTTTCTAGCGGTCCATGGAGTTCCGGGGCTCACTGAGAGAGATTCACGGTCAATATTTTCTAAACTTTTTTTCCAGCTGATATTTTTAAAAGGTTTTTTGGAAGTACATGACATGAGAATGAGATGTTAAAGGAAAAGGCAAAGGAAACTTCAATGAGAATTTTCCATGTGTTTCTTTTTATTGAAAACAGCAAAGTGAAAAAGAGAGATGTTGAAATGCTGCGCTGGAACTCTCCTATGCCCTGTTTTAACTGCAAGGGTCGGTAAAATTGTTATAGCTAATTATAAACATATGGTCTAAGTTAGGAATACCTGCTTAGAGATATTATATATGTTTATGGAGGTCCAAAGCAAGCAATGTACTGATAAGGGAACTCATCATATATGTCAACCAATCATTCAGTCCCCTTCAACTTAATTAGTTTCAGAGATCATGGCATGACAGTCCCAAATACTAAAGAAACGAGCCGCTTTGATTGGGTTGGGTTGTGATCTTGATGAATATTCACATAGTCCAATAAGAGATATTGATTGGGTTTCTTTTCCAATTTCAATGGGCTATTTGATCCAAAAAAGCCGAAGAGAACCCTTGTTAAAAAAGTCTACAATTGTACGCGATTGGATTGTTATTTAGACCCAGCCCACTTTCAGATCCGGTTTTCAGCCCGGTCTGGCGAGTCGTCCCGATTTCGCCTTCGAAAATCAGCCTTCCTTTTCTCGAGTGTGCACCACCTTCGCCCCATTTCTTTTAATTGGAGTTACTGCACTCTTTTATTTTTTTAATAACTGCCTATCAACGGGTTCAGAAAACCAAATCCTAATTATTCAAATCCAAGCCCTAATAACCTCCAATATTAATTTCCCCAATTTCCAATTCGGTTCGAAATCCCCAAAGCTCAGGAACCCGAGATTCCATGGCGTCGAGGAAGAAAGAATCCGAAGGAATTGCCTTGCTGTCCATGTACAACGACGAAGATGACGAAGAAATGGAAGACGTTGAAGAAGACGATCATCAACAAAACCAACCAGGTGAAGAAGAAGAAGAAGAAGAGCAACCGCCAGAAGAAGAAAACGAATTCAGAGAACCAAACAACAACACGGAAGAAGATTTGAGAACTAGCGACGATACGCCCCCTTTTCCTCACCAAACCTCCACTCCTTCACAACAACAGCCGCAGCCTTCCATTTCTTCGCCGCAGCAACAACCGTTGATGTCTTCAAGGAGAAGTGGCAGAGGAAGATTGACCATTGTTGATTACGGCCACGATGAAGCTGCCATGTCACCGGAGCCCGAGGTAACCTCTTTCCGCCTCGTGAAAGTTAGGGTCTTTGTTTGTAAATTGCTTGATTGTTTAATGATTTGTGGTGTGCAGGAAGGGGAATTAGGAAGTAGTGATGACCTCGTATTTGGTGTAGAGCATCAAATTGCTAATGGTGCTTACTTTTTTCTCTTTTTTCTTTTTATAAATTGAAGTTCAATTTTTACTCTTGAAATTCCTAGCTTTCTAATTTAGTATTTGTTTGCAGGCGATATTCAAGGAAAAACGCCTCCAGCTGCTGTTCAAGTGACTCCGCAATCATCAGATGTCGAGCCTTTACAATCTGAAACCCTGAACAATGTTGTTGGTGAGTCAGAAGCTGTAGAAATTGAGGAATTTGCTTCTGTAGACAATGTTGATCTTTTGGATAAGTTTCTTCCTCCGCCACCAAAAGCCAAGTGCTCAGAGGAGTTACAAGTAAGTGTCTTTTGCACGCTAGTAGTAAGTAATTATAATTCTTTGGACATAATGTAGCAACCTGACTTATCATCCGAATTTGGCCCTGTATAAACCACCTGTGTGTTATACTGTTGAGATGGACTAAAAATGTTATGTTGAACTGCTGTGTTATTTATGAAACATAAAGTAGTGTGGGTGTGGTTAAGGTGCTTCTGTTTGCTATCTGAAGACATGCTGATTTTTGCCAGCCTTTGAGTTGTAGATGCAGCTATACTTTGATTCTGGTTTTGACTGGGCTGAGTTAGATTTATGTAATTTCTAGCCTGGCTGCTTTGAACTTCATTTGGTTTTTAGTTAATTGCAATGTCAGTTATCCCCACTTTCTGCTGCTGAATGGAAGATGGGTGGCTCATGAATTGAATCGTTTTGTAGGGTTGTCATGCTCTTCCTGCACTTTTTAGTTCCATGAGCATATCTCTTGTTGACAATTTAAATGATCTAAATGTTATTATTTTTGTCTTCAGGTTTATATTTTCATACCTTTTCTTTCTGTCATGTTACTGTTCAGAGGAAAATAGATAAATTTCTCAACTTGAAACGAGCTGGAAAAAGCTTCAATGCAGAAGTTCGTAATAGGAAGGATTATAGGAACCCTGACTTTTTGCTGCATGCTGTGAGGTATCAAGATATTGATCAGATAGGATCTTGCTTCAGTAAAGATGTATTTGATCCTCATGGATATGACAAAAGCGACTACTATGATGAAATAGGTTATAACAGTTCTTCTACTATGATTCTCTACGTTATCTATTGAAAATGCTTACCATGTTTTAATGACGTTGGACACATTTAAAGTATACCCAGTAGGCTTTCTCATTGTTTTAATCTGCTGTACACTTGTTTGTTGAATGCAGAGGCTGACATGAAACGTGAAAGAGAGAGGAAGGAACAAGAAAGCAAGAAGAATCAAAAGGTTGAATTCGTATCTGGTGGAAGTCAACCCACAGCAGTTCTTACTGCCCCAAAAGCTGGCATGCCCATTTCTGGTAATCTCTCTTTTCTTTTTTTTTTTTTTTGAAGAAATCTTCTTATATCAATGTATGTATTATGAGATCTTGCAATGTTGTTCTTATATGGAGTGATATTGAGGTGTTTGCCTTCTGCTCCGATTGCAGTTGATAACATTGTGCGGGATGGTAGACAAAACAAGAAATCCAAATGGGATAAGGTTCTAACTTGTCTATGCAGCGTTATCAGAAATAAGATATCAATGATATCCATTGACTCACTCTCATTGTTTCATCTAACTTCCAGGTAGATAGTGATAGAAAAAATCCTCTTCCTGTGGGAGCGCAAGATTCTCTATCAACTGTTGGAGCACATACAGTTCTTTTATCAGCTGCTAATGCTGGAAGTGGGTACACAGCTTTTGCGTGAGTCCTATAACTTGATTGGAAATTGTTCTCACCTTTCCTCGCTGACTAGAATTTCATTTTCATGGCTGAATTGTTAATTATTAAAATAAACAACCTAGAGCTAGTGCTTATTGCTTGGTAAATAGTAACTCATTTTGTTGTTAAATGGCAGGCAGCAAAAACGGCGAGAGACAGAAGAGAAAAGATCCAGTGAAAAGAGGTTGGACAGAAGATCTTGAGTTTATCTTTTTTAATTCTTGTAAGGGTGTTCCAAAAAACTCTTTTGAGGCTAAGCAACATTTTTTTGCTTTTTCCACCTTCCTAATGCCTGTGGTAAAATTTATACAATTACTTGTAGATCACTTACCTAATTGTAGCTCCATGTTGATGCTGTAGTGATATAATGCATGCTTTAATCAACGTCTCTCTCTCTCTGTCTCATGTCAAGAGCTGAAAATTTCTTGTGAAATAGAATATTGTTTGATTGATATTAAAACTCTGGCCAATATTTTGAAAAAACAGCTGGTATGAATAGATCCGTTATTCACGTCAAGACTAAACATTTTAAGACTAGTTATTTGTAGATGGAAAGTGTTGTCTGGCTGTAACGAGAAAGTACAAATCTTTGCTCTCCAGCTCTCACACTGTAAACTTGACCTATCTTCTTGATAAAAGTTAAAACGCCAAAAAAAAAAAAAAGGGCATGCATTGCTAACAAGATTGGTCATTAGGAAACAATCCTTTTGCATTGTTTAAACAAGATCGGATACCTTTTACGAAGTCAAAATCATCCTTTATACAAACTTTCCTAGTCTTAGGCGCCGAAAGGAATGCAATAATTCAATTTGGGGGTGGGGGGGGGGGGGGGGGGGGGTTTATAAATCATCCTTTTGCGTTGTCTTTTCCATGAAAGCATATTCTTGCTTTTGTGCTGAAGTACTTGGCTCTCTCTTGGATGATGTTTCCAATTTCCATCATAATCTGAGGCAGTTCTTTCATGGGTTCATTCCATTTTGCTCTAGGGTACTCAGGTCATCTTCAAAAAGAACATTTATTTGGTTCCTCGAGAAAATTATCCTTGTTTCCACTTGTTCTTGGTCCTATTTCGTCGAAGATCCCTATCATCCTTGTACGATACTTCTTAGCTTTTGATAACAGTTTATCCACTTTTTCTCAAGTGAATTACAAGTTACAAATGATATTGGTGGCCCCCTCTTATATTTGCAACTGGAGACTGGTACTAATAATTCTCTTTTTATGAATCTAACATATGCTACCTCGACTAAGTATATTCTTCTTTCAGTGTATTTTGGTAGATTGGTCAGGCCGTCATATGAGCTTTTTGTTTTGAATCTTGGGTATACCTTTTGAGAATTAAAAGCTTTATTAAAGTTTCTGCGACTCTGCCTATACCCAACTAAGCATTTTCCTTTTTGACACTAATTTCTTCCAATACTACTTATATAAATCAGAAAACACCCTCCTTTTTTGGAGCTTTGACTATATTAAGCTGATAACCATTACGCAAATCAAACTGATCAACAGTTCACGAAATTTCCTCACTAATTTCGACAGAAACGAGAATAGATTAAGTAAAATACATGTACCAATCTGTACATCGCCAAGTGTGACTAAAATAAATGATGTTAACCCTAGCCCTTTCAGACCAAAAACGCCAACTTTAATCAAAACGAGGACTTGGCTCTGTCAATATTACACAACTTTGACAGCGGCCGTTCCGTTGTGTTTGCATGTAATGTAATGAAATGAAGGTGTAAGGTGGGTCCAGGCTGCCATGCTATCACTGATTTTCCTGTACATTACATAAAGCCTGATGCTTGTCCAGATATTGACGACTCACATGAAAATAAAGAAATATGTATCAGATTGCAGAGCAATTGTCTCTATTTGAATTACTACACTTCGATTCCATCAGCTCAAAACGAACAAAAATATTTGCAATCATAATTCATAAAGATTTTCAGTTCATTAGTAACTTTATTTTAGTCGAAGACAATTTAGAATTTGATCTGTAGCTGTCAGAGCACCGGCTCTACGAAATGCTCATTAAAGGCCATTTCTTTTTCTTTTTTTTATTTTCAAACCTACATTAAAGGATGACTGGTTGGTTAGTTACGTGTGGGCAGGTCGGCACAGAGAGGCGTAAATTAGGCATGAAATTTGCTGCCAAAATGCAGTGGAAAAAAGTGAAAAAAATGAGCAGATGGGAGAGAAGAGAGAGGTAAGGCTCAAAGCTCTAAACTGCTTGTCTTGGCATCAAATTAGAGACGTTGGAGAATCGTACAGTACTGTTCCCCTGCACACGTTGGGGCCTAGTCAGACTCTGATACTTCTTTTTTTTTTTTTTTTTAATTAAACACTATTTAATAAAATTCTCTTAGAAATTATAATTCCATGTCATAAATTATTTTATTTTACATTTAACATTATAAAATATATTTTTCAATTCAATTAATAACTGTTTGTAAGTATTTGTTTAAGTTTTTAAATTATGAATTCAAAATTTTGATTTAGCTAATTTATGTAATATTTTTTAAAATAATATTCATTAAATTAAAACTTACATTTCTAACATATAATTTTTTAATCAAATTTATGAAAAACTTTTGCAATTATCATATTATAATCATAAAGAGTTAATTATATTTGTTAATTGAATTTTAAGAAAAATAAAATGATATTTTAAAAAATAAAAAATATAATTTATATCTCAAACTTTTAAATAATATATAATTTTAATTTTAATTTTATTAATTTAACTAGTTCATATGATATCTAACTAGTATAATTTTGTTATATGTATACTATTTGTTAAATAAAATTTTTAAATATTTTATAAAAACTTTCATATAGATGTAATGTAACAAAAAATTATTTACAGATATTAAACAGTTTTTACAGTTTAAGTAAAAAATAAAATATATTTTTAATTTATATTAAAAATAGATGTTGATAATATGCATAGTGAACATATAACTTAATAATATTTGTTAAATACCATATATATAAGTTGATATTGTTAACGAAATTAGAGTTTAAATTAATTTAATATATAATTTTAAATTTTAAAGTATAAATTATATATTATTTAAAAATTTATGATATAAATTATATATTTTTAATTTTTTAATATCAATTTATATTTTTTTAAAATTTAAATACTAAAATTATAATCAACTCAACCCCATAAACATAGCAAGAAAAAGGTGAATTTATAATCTCAATTTTATTAATCAAGAGTAATGGATGGTAGAGTCGTAATAATATTATTTGATGTTATTTTAATAATGTACAAATCAATTATTTTATCAAAATAATATTAAATAAAAATATTTTATAAATTAAATATATAATTAAAATATTTTAATCGATATTCAAGATTATAACACCCTCTTAATTTAACGTCAAAGTAGCTTCTATGATTTAATGTTATGAATGCTTCTTTACTATAGAAAATAAAAAAGAAAAAGTAGGATAATAAGAGAAATACTAAAAAGGTCGACTGAACTTTAAGATCACAGGCCAACTGCGAGCAAAAAGTAACCAACGGCTAAGATGGATTTTGAAAGCAAAGACGTTACTTTTTCTTTTATAATAATAAAAGAAATGCCCCCACCTTTTCTTTTCCTTTTTTTTTTTCTCTCCTTCCAAGGTAAAAAATTTATAAAACATAATTATAATAAAATAATTTATAAATAAATGCTAAAGTGAAAAATATTCTCAATTTAGAACCAAACCAAAATTAATTTCAGTTTATAATCGCCAATCTGTCTGTGGAAAGCATCAAAGAAGTTGTAAAAATTTATTAATGAGACCAACGGTAACGTTGGGTTTGGCAGGTTGCCTAAGGGGTAATTTCGGAATATCAAAAAAGTTAACGGAACATTTTTGTATATATATAGACAAGTGGGAAAAGAAGGAAAAAAAAAAAACTGAAAAACAAAACAAAACTCTCTCTACAATCTACACTGAGTAAAGAGAGTGAAGACTGAGGGAAGGAAAAAAAAAAGCCTTCTAGTGGGCGGCAATGTGCCTTATTTTCATTGCTTTCTCTTTTGGCCTCTATCTTCTTTTTCTATACCATTAATTCATTCTTTATCTCATTCTCAGTTTCTTTCTCTTCCTTTTCCTTCTTGATTCATTACGTTTAAGCTAAAGTTTTGAGTTGATATTTACCTGTTTTTCTCTGGGTTGAGCTTACCTAACAATTCTTTGATTCATTTGGTGAATACCCATTTGAGTTTTTAGAGGCAAAAGTAGGTGTTTAAACTATGGCAGCTCCAAAACCTGAAGAAATAAGCCACCCTCCAATGGACCAACTTCAGGGCCTAGAGTACTGCATTGACTCAAATCCTTCTTGGGGTGTGTCCATTTTGTAAATCCTTTTCAGCTGCATTTGTGATTTGTTCTGTGTTTGTAACGCTCTCTTTTGCTTGTGGAAACAGGGGAGGCTATGGCTTTGGGGTTTCAACATTATATTTTGGCCTTAGGAACTGCTGTGATGATCCCTTCTTTTCTTGTTCCTTTGATGGGAGGAACTGATGTAAGCCACTTTGACTTGTACTGAATAACAATATTCTCCGCTGATTTTCTTCTTTTTCTGGCCTTTTCTTTTCATCAGGAACTTGAGATATTCACTAGCTTCTTTTCTTGATTCATCCATAAACCCAAAAAAATAGATATATGAAAATTTTCAACTTCTATTGTTTGTTACTTTATTTCACATGATTTTTTTTTTCACTTTGATGGTTTAGGATGATAAAGTGAGAGTGGTGCAGACACTACTATTTGTTGAAGGGATTAATACACTTCTACAAACACTGTTCGGGACTAGACTACCTACCGTGATTGGGGGGTCTTATGCCTTCATGGTTCCCATTATATCAATAATTCATGATACTTCCTTGATGAGTATCGAGGACAACCACGTGGTTAGTAAAATTTCTATGATCAATTTTCCCAATCTACTTTGTAGCAGTTGCTTTTTTTCTCATTAAGTTCAATCTTGTTGTGGAAAAGGAGAGTCATCAAGGAATAAGGTCAATATTTGTGTGACCCACATTCTCATTTGGGTTTACTTTTTATCAACTAAATAAATCCAGTCTTGTTCTTGTAACGCTAGCATGCACCCAAGTTTTCAAATGAGTCACATCAGTGTAATTGTAATCCTGTTTTTGCTTATATTGTTTGGCTGTATTGGTAACTCCAATAAGTACAAGATATTATGATTTTGAGCAAGGTGCACCAAACCTCGTTCTTATGCCTCCTAAACGAAACAAAACTTTAGGTAGAGGCATGTCTTGTTACCAGGTCTCTTGTGTCAAGGACTAAGGTCAATATTTTTGTGACCCACATTCTCATTTGGGTTTACTTTTTATCAACTAAATAAATCCAGTCTTGCTCTTGTAACGCTAGCATGCACCCAAGTTTTCAAATGAGTCACATCAGTGTAATTGTAATCCTGTTTTTGCTTATATTGTTTGGCTGTATTGGTAACTCCAATAAGTACAAGAGATTATGATTTTGAGCAAGGTGCACCAAACCTCGTTCTTATGCCTCCTAAACGAAACAAAACTTTAGGTAGAGGCATGTCTTGTTACCAGGTCTCTTGTGTCAAACTTCAGGGAACTTCATTAGTTGGGCTAGGTGGCACCTAGTGTTTCAGATTAAAGAATATGAGATGGTCTTTTATGTGTATGCAGAGATTTCTAAACACTATGAGAGCAGTCCAAGGTGCACTAATAGTAGCATCAAGCATACAAATTATCCTGGGATACAGTCAGATGTGGGCCATTTGTTCCAGGTGCAACTTTGATCTTCAATGAAGCTTCTGTATCAAAAAAAAAAAAAAAATCCTGGAGAAAGACAATTTGAGAAACTATTGACGAAATGTACCTTTTTGCCTTTTCAGGTTCTTCAGTCCCCTTGGAATGGTTCCAGTCATTGCACTAGTTGGCTTTGGCTTGTTTGACAGAGGCTTCCCTGTGGTATAATATAGAAACTATGACGCTGTTTTAAATTCTTAAAGAGAATTTCCTCGTCTTATCGCTCCTGTAGTTTTAACTTGTTATCAACTCTCTATTAGGTTGGTCGCTGCGTAGAAATTGGTATCCCAATGCTTATTCTATTTATAGCCTTCTCCCAGGTACTACTATTTCTTCTAGCAATGTACAGATTAATATTTTTTTTGCATTAAAAGCAGTTATGTCAAATGGAAAGGCCAAAGGCGGTTGCTAGATCAAGTGCTTGCATACTGTTATATAATTGGTTTCCCAATGAAAAGTCTAACACTTGCAAAGTATCTTATTCAGAATGATTTGGTCATTTACTTGTTTATCTCTTTGTCCAAATCATCTGAAAACTATTCTTCATCTATTTCAAAATGCATTTGGTTTTCCCTAGTTACATTCTAAAGTTACACTATACGGAACATGTACTATATATCTGATAATGTTTTGTTTTTCTGTCAAAAACAGTACTTGAAGAATTTTCAGGCAAAACAACTGCCTATACTGGAGCGGTTTGCTCTCCTTATATCAATCACAGTAATATGGGCATATGCTCATCTCTTGACAGCAAGTGGTGCATACAAACATCGTCCAGAATTAACCCAATTAAATTGCAGAACTGACAAGGCCAACCTCATTTCTTCTGCTCCATGGTTGGTACTAAAGCCATTCCCCTCTGGTTTAATATTTATGCATGCTCAAAGGACATAAAACAAATTGAATTTACAGAGAGATGATAGGAATTGATTCAATAATTTCTTAGTATTGTCTTTCTGACTGATATTTATTAAATCAGGATAAAGATACCTTATCCTCTTCAATGGGGTGCTCCTACTTTTGATGCTGGTCATGCTTTTGGAATGATAGCTGCGGTTTTAGTCTCATTGATTGAGGTAATGCTCATGAAAAGTAGAAAATAAACTGAATAGACATATTATTTAGTGAATTTAATGTTTGCTTTGGCAGTCAACCGGAGCTTACAAGGCTGCCTCACGTCTAGCCAGTGCCACACCTCCTCCAGCTCATGTTCTTAGTCGTGGTATTGGTTGGCAAGGCATTGGGATCCTTTTGGATGGATTATTTGGAACACTGACTGGTTCGACAGTCTCTGTGTAAGTATTGTTGCTTCTTGCTCCGAAATTTATCTTTTTAAGCAACTACACTAATGCCTGGGAAAACAACAGAGAAAATGTGGGGCTTCTTGGAAGCACTCGTGTTGGAAGCCGCAGGGTCATTCAAATCTCCGCTGGTTTTATGATATTCTTCTCGATATTAGGTGAGTGACGATTTACAAAGTAGACGATTCTCCAGAATCTTTGTCTGTCATAGTTCTTCTGTTAACTTTAGAGTTAATTTCTTTTAACATCTGCAGGAAAATTTGGAGCTTTGTTTGCATCAATACCTTTTACCATATTTGCTGCTGTTTATTGTATTTTGTTTGGTCTTGTTGGTGAGTATCACAATAACATTCTTGCACATCGCATATCCCTTTTGTGAGATTTGCTGTTGCTTTTCTTTCTAACTGTTGCTCTGATTGCTTTCAGCTTCCGTGGGACTGTCATTCTTGCAATTTACAAACATGAACTCCATGAGGAATCTCTTTATAGTAGGCGTTGCCCTGTTCTTAGGCTTGTCTGTTCCTGAGTACTTTAGAGAATACACTGCTAAGGCTCTTCATGGTCCTGCTCATACCAGGGCTGGATGGGTGAGTTAAATGTCCCTGTGGCACTTCTTATTCACCTCCTCTGCTAATCAACATAACAATGACATGTGTTTCTTTTGCATGCAGTTCAATGATTTCCTTAATACCATCTTCTTTTCATCACCAACGGTTGCATTAATTGTGGCTGTATTCCTAGACAACACACTTGACTATAAAGACAGTGCCAGAGATAGAGGAATGCCATGGTGGGTTAAATTCCGGACATTCAAAGGAGATAGCCGGAATGAGGAGTTTTACACACTCCCTTTCAATCTCAACCGTTTCTTCCCACCATCATAAATCATCGTCAAGAAAGAGATGCAAGGAAAAAGCATCCCTTCCAGAAAGAAATATGTGATGACGATCACAGTCATAGTGAAGAAGAATGAAACGGAGTTTCATGTGTTTTTGGCATTGCTGATAAAGAGCAGTTACCTCTCCCATCATCGGTCAGATGTATATTTGACTTGGGTTATTCAGGTTTAATCCAATATCATCAATACATTTGTCCTTCGCAGTTCGAACTAAGTGTAAGAATTAGTCCTTAATAAGACTTTTTTTGGTGCAATGTTAAAAAAGGCTTGCTGCTTTGAACAGTGTTTGCAAAAGTGACTTTGCAGGAACTCTATAAATCAGATGTAGCGATGCACGGGCATGACAATATCACTTCATTAATTGGTGATCATTGAGTACAAAATACTACGATTGAAAAGCCATAAAGAGAATACATTGAATGAAGGCTATCCATTGTATTTGCATACAGCCGCATCAGGAAGGCATGAATCATAATCGCTCCCATAGTCATGGCCAAAAATACGATTCCCTCAGTCCTGACCAATTAATATCTTTCCTTCTTCAACAGAAAGAAGAAAAGGAAATGGTTTGATATAAAATTTACATAATTTAATTTTGAAAGAAGAAAGAAGTAAAACGTTAAAAATTAGCTTCTTTTTCCCCCAAATAGGACATTTTCAGGTAAAATTTAGACAAATAAACTGATATTTATTATCCAATAAGCTTAAGCTGTAAAGATTCAAGTTCAACCCAAAAAAAAAAAAGGAAAAAGAAGAAAGTGTAAATTGTAAAGATTCCAAATTAAACACATTCCTCACCATTCTAAAGTCTGCTCAACATCCTTAACTTTATTTTAATTTTCTTGAGTATGGTCACGACATCCTTCATATTTTTCCTTTCTTCAGGCGACTCAGTTGTACATTCCAAGGCTAATTCCGTGATAGACAATACATATTTCACTTTATCAATGAAATGGTCCTCCTCTCTTCTTAACAAATTGGCATCCAGAACATCAATTATTCCATTAGGAAGTGACTTTTTTACCAAATCCCTTAAGACTCATTTCACTAGAGAAAATTCCATCCGTAGGTTTCTTTCTTGTAAAAGTTTCCATCAATAAAATACCATAACTATAAACATCACTTTTTAGAAAAACAATTACTGCCCATCCATGTTCTGTATTTAAAGCATAATCAAATGTTTAAGTAGTGGTAACATCAATCATCAATAGAAAACTAAAATGCTGACGCAGCCACAGATATAGAAACATATATATGAATAAGAATAAAAAACTAATCACCCGGTGCCATATAGCCGATAGTGGCAAGTGTCATGGTTTGTCTCATGGAGTCTTCTTCTCCTAAGAGTTTGGAAATGCCAAAATCTCCAACATGTGCGACCATGTCTTTATCTAGTACGATATTACTTGGCTTTACATCACAATGGATCATGGATAGAGAGCAGCCAAAATCGAGGTATTCTAATGCTGATGCAACATCAATCACTACATCAATTCTTTGTAGGATATCCAGAAAATAGTTATAGGAATATAGCCATTTCTCCAGACTCCCATTAGGCATGAACTCGAATATTAAGGCTTTGAAGCTAACATTAGAGCAACTACTAATGACCTTCACAGGATTGCGATGAGAAATGTTGCGCATTACTTCACATTCAACATCAAAACTCTTGAATCCACCATGTGCCTGCATATTGAACACTTTTATTGCAACATTCATCCCATCTGAAAGCGTTCCTCTATACACTGACCCAAAACCCCCTGAACCAAGCAAGTTGCATTCATCAAATCCATTAGTTGCTTGTAAAAGTTGATTGTAGGAAATTCTTCTCCACATTTCCAGAGGCAATATATCTTCGATAACTGGCAGATTTCTACTCCTTTTTTGGCATCTTTTGAGGACAATAATGAAGGCTGCTATCACAATTATTGTAGTGACCACTGGTAAAACATATTTCAAAACATGCAGAGGAGTCATCTTCCACTGTCTACTTTTGCAAGGTGGAACTTGCAGTGCAAGCGAACCGCAAAGTCCATAGTTCTTCATAAATGATTTAGCTGAGAAGTATCTAAAGGGTCCTCCAATGGAGATTTCTCCTTCTAGTCTATTCAAAGACAAATTAAAATGATTGAGAAAGCAAAGTTGTCATAACGTCTAGATCTAGGGATCTATCGCTAGATATTGACTTGAGGAGTCGTCATCAATCTTTTTGATTTAGGTGCGATTGATCACCTAAGAAATCTATCATTTCAAGGGACACTTAAGCTTAAGGGTACAAAAAAGAATAGGTTTGGGTCTACTAACCAAAACAGGATTCCAAAGTTCAGTTACGAGTAAGGAAAGTTATAGCACCCTCACAACGCTCATCGAAGGATGGTACCACCTTGATTTCATGTTATCTATTAAGCCTAAAAAATTTACCAAATAATTAATTATTGAAAATTATTCTTAATTGACTCCAATACTTTTGGTAAAAAATTAAAAAAATTCCCTCACCTCAAGAGTATATAAGAAAACTACTGTTTCCCTTATAGAGGCTCCGTCGTCGGATTATTTAACATTAAAAAGTTTCAAGAAAAGAAAAATAAAATAAAATAAAGAATAATGATTCAACTTTTGATATAAATCTTTTTCTTTTCATTTTAAAAAATTCATTGCTTTTATATAAGTAAAATTGATACTTTTAACTTTTTTTTAAAGCATTTAGAAGTTTTTTTTAAGAAAAATTGATACTTTCAATTTTTCCTTAAAAAAATATTTTTCTCGACAATTTTTATTTTTAAGAAAAAATTGATATTTCAACTTTTTCCCAAAATATTTTTTTTTTGAAATTTTAATTTTGAGAAAAATTGATACTTTTAACTTTTTCTCAAAATTTTTTTTGAAATTTTAATTTTAACAAAAATTGATACTTTTAACTTTTTTTTAAAATACTTTTCTTGATAATTTTTATTTTTAAAAATTTTATTTTTAAGAAAAATTGATACTTTCAACTTTTTCCTAAAAATATATTTTTTAACTTTTTTATTTTCAAGGGAAATTGATAATTTCAACTTTCCCCAAAAAACTTTTTTTTTTGTGTTCAAAAGAAATTGATACATTAAACTTTCCTTCAAAAATATTTTTTTTAATTTTATTCTTTAAAAAAATTGATACTTTCAACTTTTCCTCAAAAATATATTTTTAAAAAAATTTATTTTAAGAAAATCATTAAAAAGAAAAATAAATTAAAATTAAGGAATACGAAATAATTCTAATTTAGAAATAATAATAACAATAATAATAATAATAATAATAATAATAAAATAAATAAATGAAAAAAAAACCTTGAAACAGCATGACTCGACGTAGATTTAGCTCGGCTTAAGGAAGAAAAACGATTAGAAAACGCAGCTCGAGAGTGCGAGGCTCGACTTAGCCTAACTCTAAAGGTCGGTTGGCACTCGGGTCAGACGCGGGTCAAAAGCAAGTTGGTGTTCGGGTCGGGTCACTTGATAGCAAAACACGCGGATCTCTGGGATTTACTAAGGCCAAAATGATATCATTTTCTGAAGTTATAAAAGGGAAAAGCTTTTGATTTTCTTTAGACGCCTTCTTTCCCTTTCTCTTTCTTCCTCTATTTTCTCTCTCCTTTCTCTAGAAAAACTCAGATTTCGATTGAATGTTCTACTGAAATCTGGAAAAACCCATCGAAAATTGGAAAATTTGGCTAAAAAATTCATCGAAAATTTGATTGGATTCTGGATTTTCTAGAAAAAAAACCCCAAAATGCGAAAAAAATTCTTAAAAATTCTAAAACAATCTCTACCCTTAAGAATCTTTTTTCGGCTTCTATTTTCTTCTGTCTCGTGTCCTTTTTTGTGTTTTGATCAATGTGTATTTATAGGGAATCAACCTCAGAGTCCTTGACTAATCCGGATTCCTTTTTTGATTGGGTTTCTGGGTTATCAAATACTAGTTGAATCTATCTATGACTTCCTACTAGCCTTATTCATGGCAAAATTCATTCTAATTTTTTCTGATCATAATCTCTTAATCCCAGCCGAGAATTGATCAAGAAAAGATAAAATCAAAAAAAATATTAATAAATAAATAATAAAAAAATTAATTAATCAATCCCAACTTTGGGCTTCACTATGCCCATTAGACTAGACCCAATTGATCCGGACCTGGACCCAATTGAGTGTCTACAGCTACCCTTCTTTGCACATTTTTTGTGAAACATGAATTATACAAAGACGTAGACACCCATTCAATACTCAACTCGACACTTTTTTTTTTGCTTTTTTTTCGTTAAAATTTTGATCAAAGCTCCTCTAAGCAGAGGCTCAACAACTTTGAGAAACATAAACAAAGCTTCTCTAAACAGAGGCTCAATGATTTTGAAAAAATAAACAAAGCTCCTCTAAACAGAGGCTTAACAACTTTAAAAAAATAAATAAAGCTCCTCTAAATAGAGGCTCAATAACTTTGAAAAAATAAATTGCTCCTCTAAACAGAGGCACCACAACTTTGAAAAAATAAATTGCTCATCTAAACAGAGGTACCACAACTTTAAAAAAATAAATTACTCATTGACAATCATGTCTAGAGGAGTCAAAGATCGTGTTTGAAGAAATTTCAGGAGATTATGTCCAAGGGTCTTACAAATCGATCCTGATACCGAGAGATATCCTTTTTCAAGGATTAAAATCTTACCTCACAAGCTTTTTCTCAAATTTAAAACTTTTACATCAAAAAGTCTTCACATCTATCTTCTTCATGTGGGATCCTGGAATACCTATGCTTTTTGAATTTATGCACTATACTTTCTTAAATGCAATATATGTTATACGAAATACAGTGCATGCTATGCATATGCTTGCTAATTAATTCCCATTCAGTTGTGGTACTCAAGTTTCTCAAGCTTTTTTTTTAGGCCTCGAACCCTTTATTCTTCAAAGACCAAGTCAGCGTAACTCTCAATCATCTCTTTCACTTAATTTTCACATTCTTTCTACAAGAAATCCCTTTCCAAATTCAATGACCTTATCAGGAACTAAACATATCAAATTTGCCTTTCTTACTCTTGACTTCTCCAATGTAATGTAGAAATAATTCATGCTATTATTCATTTATCAATCATTATTTCAAACTCAAAAATTAAGAATGCATTCACACATTTCTTCCATTGCAAGGTATTAAGGAGAAAAGAATAAGAATGGTTAGGAAATAGTCAACAGAAAAGACACAAAAAAAGAAAGTAGAATGTCTTTTATTAGCAAAAATGCTGACAAACTTTGGCCAAGAAAGAATTACAGAGATAGGTATGGGGAGACAATGCCCAAAAATGAACAATCGGATATTTATGATAACACATCTCGAGGTCCTTTTCAAAAAACTCAACCAATCAATGCATTTAATAACTTAGAGCTCCTCAGAATTTACTAACCTTCATGCCAATAAATTTTCATATTTGATGTTGTGTTCTCCTTATCTAAGTTACCTTATCAGGTTTTGAACTTAGATAAATCCATTATAACTCAAACCACTCTTTTTAGGGTTTTCGCCTTGAGTTCTCATTTTTTATTTTATTTTTTTCATTTTTTTTCATTTGTTTCCTCATTTTTTTTCTTTTTTTTTTCAAGCATAGTGCTTCTTTACAGTAACAAAATTTATAGGATGCGATAAATCATTTTCATCCATCTCAGCCAATATGATCCTTTCTAATTTGGAGACTATTTTCCTCTATTATCATGCTGATTTGAAAGAATTTTTTTTAAGATCAACTTTTTCTTTCAAAAATAATGAGGTTAAACTTTTTTATTATGAGCTCTCATCATTCTTCTTTGATATAGTTGATCATGACACAACACTGTCAATCTCTTTTCTTCTATGAAATTTAACTGTTCATAGTATTCTCAAATTCATTCAGCCTCTTTCAGTTTAACTTTTTTTAAAACCTTCAAGGATGGGATCTCTACTTCTACTCGCAATACAACTTTCATCCCATAAACCAAAAAAAATGGAGTTGCCCCAGTAGAGGTAGGCACTGAAGTTCGATATGCATGCAGTGCAAATGAAAACTTCTCATGCCAATCTTTATAAGTTTCGATCATCTTCTCAAAAAAATTTTTATATTTTTGTTAGCTGTTTCAACTACCCCATTCATTTTCGGATGGTATGATGTCGAGTTATGATGCTTGATATTGTATTAGGCACATTTTTTTACATCATCTTACTATTTAGATTCTTGACATTGTCCAAAATGATTCTCTCTGAAAGTTCATATATGTAAATGAGCTTTTTTTTTTATGAACTTGCAAACCAAAATCGTATTACATTTGTAAATGATGCTATCTCTACCCATTTTGTGAAGTAGTCTATCATTACGAAAACAAACCTATGCTTATTAGAAGCCTTTGGGGTAATAGAACCAATGACATCCATGTCCTACATCGAGAATGGCCAAAGTGGTGCCAGAACATATAAAACAAATGACGGAGCATGGATCTTATCAGCATATATCTGGCATTTATGACATTTATGAGCATATTCAATGCAATCATTCTCTATTATCAATCAATAGTATCTTGCTCCATGATCTATCTTGTCATCATATGTCCATTGGCATGTTCCCCACATATTTCATCATGCACCTCTTCAATGATTTTTCTTGGCTCAACCTTACTTACGTATATCATCAATACTTGATCATAGCTCTTTTTGTACAAAACATCCCTGTTCAGAAAAAAACTCATAGCTAATCTTCGGATAACCCTTTTATCATTGTCCATTGCTTGGATTAGATATTGCTGGTTCTTAATATACTATAATATATCATAAAATCAGGGCTTCCCATCATCATCTTTTTTAACATTAGAGTAATGAGCTAGCATATCCTTGACATCTAACCTGATAGGCTGAATGTCAGTATTATCACTAATTCAAATCATTGCAGCCAAAGTAACCAAGGCATCGGTAATTAAATTCTTCTCTCGAGGTAAATGGTCAAACTGAATATATTCAAACTGCTTTATCAACTCTAAAATATACTTATGATATGGAACAACTTTTGAATCCTTACTCTTACATTCTCCTTTCAATTGATATATAACTAGAGCGAGTCCCCAAACACTTTTAATACTTTAACTTTTTTATCTATAGCAGCTTGTAAACCTATGACACATGCCTTATATTTAGTGATGTTATTTGTGCAATTAAAATTTAACCTCACTGTTATAGGGTAGTATTGTTCCTCTGAAAAAATTAGAATTACCCTAATTCAATGTCTTAAAGCATTGACAGCTTCATCAAAATACATTTTTCGACATTTTTTTTCATGCTTTCTTTTTTCTAATTGGGAAATAGCCATCAAATCTTTATAAAAAAATTTTAATCTCATTGGTTCATATTCTTCAATAGCATGATCTACGAGAAACTCAGCTATAGCACTCTCTTTTATTACCTTTTAGTTTACATATATGATATCATATTTCGAAAGCATTACTTGCCACTTAATAATTCTTTCGGATAAAGAAAGCTTCTCGAAGATGTATTTAATTGGATCCAATTTTGCTATAAGCCAAGTGGTGTGATAGAGCATGTATTGTCTGAGTTTTTTGATAGTTCAAGCTAATGCATAACATATTTTTCCAAGAAAGAATACTTGGACTCGTATTCTGTGAATTTTTTACTCATATAATAAATAGCTCTCTTTTTTTTACCATATTCATTTTACTGCCCTAGCACGTATCCCATTGAATTCTCACACACCGTCAAATACAAAATTAAAGGTTTTCCTAAAATAGGTGACACCAACACTGAAAGATTTGATAAATATTGCTTAATTTTATCAAAAGCTACTTGATATTTCTCATTTTATTCTCCAGAATTATTCTTACGAAGAAGCTTAAAAATGAGATCACATTTATAAGTAAGCTGAGATATGAACCCCGAAATGTAGTTCAATTTTCTCAAAAAACTTCAAACTTTTTTGGGTGTACTCGAATGTGACAAATTTTGAATGACCCATATTTTGTCTGAATCGACTTCAATCCCTCTTTCACTGATCACAAAACCTAGTAACTTTTTTAACTTTGCTCTGAATATGCACTTGGCTGGGTTCAGCTTGAGTTAGAATTTTTTCAACCTCTCAAATAATTTTTTGAGGTTGGTGACATGATCTTCGTTTTCATAAGATTTTACAATCATATCATCCACATACAATTCAATCTCTTTATGCATCATGTCATGAAAAAAGGTCACCATGGCTCTTTGGTATATTGTCCTAGCATTCTTTAACCCAAAAGGTATGATTTTGTAGCAAAAGATCCCTCATATGATCATGAAAGTAGTCTTTTTCATATCGTTTATAACCATTTTTATGTGATTATATCCTAAGAACCTATCCATAAAAGAAAACATTGAACGCTTAGCCGTATTATCTACCAATGTATCAATATGAGGTAAATGAAAGTTATCCTTTAGACTAACCCTATTCAAATCACGATAGTCTATACATATTCATACATTTTTATCTTTCTTAGAAACTGGTACTATATTGGCTACCAACTCTGGATACTTAGCCACTTGTACAAAACCTATGTCAAATTATTTCTTAACTTCTTCTTTGATATAGTAACATTTCAGGCTTCATTCACCTCAGTTTCTGTTGGATTGGCTTACATTTTGGTTTTAGGGACAGTTTGTGCTCTACTATCTCCGTACTCAACCCTGAAATATCTTGGTAAAATCAAGCAAACGCATCTATAAATTTTTGAAGTAGATCTTTCAAACATTATCTATCTCTCGATGAAAGTGTAGTGCCAATTCTAACCTCTTTTCTTATATTCATACATTTTCATCTTTCTTAAAAATTGGTACTATATTGGCTATCAACTCTGGGTACTTAACCACTTGTAAAAAATCTATGTCAAATTATTTCTTAACTTCTTCTTTGATATAGTAACATTCAGGCTTCATTCACCTCAGTTTTTGTTGGACTGGCTTACATTTTGGCTTTAGGGACAGTCTGTGCTCTACTATCTCCGTACTCAACCTTGGAATATCTTGGTAAAATTAAGCAAACACATCTATAAATTTTTGAAGTAGATCTTTCAAATGTTGTTTATCTCTCGATGAAAGTGTAATGCCAATTCTAACATCTTTTCTTATTTTTCTCATCTCTTAGATTCACCAAATTAGTTATTTCTTGATGAGGCTCAATTGGCTTACTTTCTTGTTCAATCAATCTCATTAGGTTCGAAGGTATAACATACTCTTCAGAATCATCTTCTTGTTCATTTAAAGACCTAAAATTGAATGAAATGAGATACGTTAGCAAGATGCATTTGGAAAAATAAAAAAATGACAATAATGAAGGCGCAATAAGAAATAAGTGAAAATGCATCCTTTCTAATCTTTATTAAAATAATAAAAGATAAATGACCCAAACAAGAAAGATCACCCCAATACCTTGAACAATAGTTATTGGGATGTACAATTACATTGAATTAGTCTCAAGAGTAAAAGGCATTTCAATGGTACTCCAATTATTTAGCTCATAATTTGACGGATAATGGTGGACCTATCTTTCTTGTTAAAGCCTCGTTTCATCTTCAATAGCATGGATGGTCAATTGGGCGAATCCTTCTTCCATACTTGGTTCACAATCTTCTTCTACATTTGGGTACATGAATTTTTCACATTTAAAAGTTTCATATAAATGTGGGATGATAATTAATCTTGTTGTCTTACCTACTGGTTTTTTCCTAATCTCTTATTCTTCTACTTCATATCCCAGGCCTAACCTTTCACTATTGTCCACCATTGATGGGGGCTCTCTTATTTCTTATAAGTTCATACCCAACCCTACTGTTGGATACCAGCCTTTATTAATAACTTGGCATATTACTATTTTTAAAAATGGTTGATTTTTAAATTTTTCACCCACAGAGTTGACTAATTCAAAAGATCGATAAGAGCATTTCATTACTTTCTCAGCAACTTCCACATATGAGGCATTCAATGGTTGAGTTACCAACATGTCTTTTTTTTCAAACACTACCACTAACTAGCCTTCCACATTGAACTTAATTTTTTAGTATAGGGTAGAAGAAACAGCCCCTGCCAT